AATAACGTTCAATTGATAACATAAAACTTCTCAATGTATCAGGTTCATATTCAGTATTATCTGCTTTACGAACATTACCAAAATAATGTTTTAAATAAGTACATAATTGTTCTGGTTCTAATTCATCAATAGGACAATTTTCACCGAATGTATCTTCTAAGTATAATGCAAAACGTCTTACTTCATGTTTTGTTTTACGTATTGTATTATAAGAATTTGTTCCTGAACATATTAAAAAACGATTCGAATCAATACGTTGATTCGCTAAACGTGATAAACGTGCAGCAGCAGCTGCTGATGATATAGGTTTTGCTGATGATTGATCATCTTTATTTGTTTGAATTGATGATGTTGCTATTGATGAATGTGATATTGTTTCTTCTCCACCACTTGAATTTGGTGATTCTTCATCAAGTTGTAATTCAGTTTCATTATCATCATCTTCTTCATCATCGTCAAGTTCATCTGTTGATACAAATGTTGCTGCTGTTGGTGTTGTTCCTGTTGTTGTTGTACCACCAGCCATTTCATCTGTATCAGCACCAAATAATTTTATCATTTGATGAAAATCAGCAAGAGATGTAGCGGCTGTAGCCATACTTTAAATATATATGTACATACACACAATTACACGAGTATTGTCTATTAGTAAGAATAAAAAAAAAAGAGACGAGATCTAGAAAAAGAAATAGTAGTAAATACAATGAACAAACAATGAACAATAAACGGAGGTCGAAGAGACATAAGCAAAGCACACGATATCCTGAGCATACAAATATGAGTATCGTTATATGCATCCTGGTATTTACTAAACGAGCGACGGATGTGCGCACGAATACACGATAAAGAAAGAACGAATAGCAAGAAGAGTCCTAAGACGACAAATTGCGTGATATAGACATGCGAATAAAGCTCATCTTTTGTCCCTATCCTACGTCAATATATGAAAAGAACATAGATAAGACAAAAAAATAAAACGAACATCTCTAATATACAAAGAAATGAATCATTTTTCTTTTTTCTTCATATATATGAAATGTTATTACTGACCTTTGAAATCGATTTCTATTGTTCGAATACTCATTCAAACAGTTGTTTAATGCTTGATATTCTTGTTCTTCTCGTTTACTAGCTCCTCACATCGTTTTTTTTTCTATATACACAATTGACACAGGCAAACACCACATTTTTCTATTCTTTCATACCATCTGCTTACTTTGTCGAACATACGCGGCTGGTGCTGCATATTAAACGAAAGTTAGTAGATATCCAGTTCTTTCGCGGCTTTTTAACGCTTTCTCCTCTTCAACTATTCCAATAGCATACAGATATATATATATATATTTATTTATTTATATATATATATATCTTTATGTGTCACGTTTACTGAATGATGATGATGATGATGATGAACATGAAAGACAAGACTAGTACCAACATGTCGAACAGACGATTTACTATGTCTTGCCCTCATAAATATTGATTACGTCTTTTCGTTTTTCTCAACAGATACTCACGATGTAATGTCAATGATAGTGATGATTATCATCATCTTGTGCTACTCACCTCGTTCCTGCTTATTGTGTCTGGCTATATACGAATGTGGTGGATGTCAACTAGAGTTCACCACTAGCATACTCGAATGAGGATATATCCTTCTCTCTTATTTTTGCGTCCTCTCTCTCTCTCTGTCTGTCTTATTCCTCATTTATGTCGTTGGTTTTTTTTATATATGTCGCCCAGTTGACAAAAGAAGAAGCAAAAGAAAGAGATGAACACTTCTCGTCTCGCACATATCTCTATATCCATCTTTCGTCGTTGTCGTTCACTTCTATTCTCAGTCGATGCTGCCTCATATTTCCTCGTCGGTCGTCATCGTCTATCTTTTTTTGTGTGCCCGAGATAGAGAGTTCAGGAAAAACATAAAAAAGAGAGAGCCTACCCATTTCTTTCCTTATGTCTGTCTTCGTCTCGTATCTTGGAGTAGTGAACACACACACACAGTTTTTTCCCTCGTCTCTCGTCGTATATCATAAGAACGAACAAAAAAACTGAGAGATGAAGAATGTGTGTGCGTTCACAAGCATACAAAGAAAAAAAAAGAAGGAAGGATATGCACCCGAATCGAGAATGGCAGCAGTAGTATTGGGATTAAAAAAAGCAAGGAGAGAGAGAGAGAGAGAGAGAGAGGAAGAGATCAAGCAAGAAAGTAGTAGATAGACGAGTGTTTATGTATATGCGAATGAATACCTTTCTCTTGTTCTCGTTCGTAAGCATTCGATTGATAGTGATAACAAAATAAATCAATGGAAAGTAGAGAGTAACAGCAACCTTCGATTTTGACCAAATGTCAAACATAAAGATATCCCTCTCTTCTTCGATCGAGTAGCAATAGCGCTCTCACACGCATTTGCGTATGTATGTTACGAAACGAATGTAAACATGAAATGTAACGAAGAGGATACAATACTACCTTCTGATGGAGTGCGCGAAATTCGATCTGCTGAATGATAACGGGCCGACGAGTAATTTCTTTAGTGTTCTTTCTCTTCTCTTTTACTATAGAAAAAAATAAAATAAAAAACAGAGGAGATCCCCAGTTGCTGATAATGATGGACGCTACTCTATTTCTCTATTTCTCTCTCTCCCTCTCTCTCTCTCTCCTCATTTTTTACGATGATTATAGGTCAACTGCATGTCAACGATAAATTGCTGCTGCTTGTCTGCTTTTTTTTTGTCAAATAGATCATTCTCTCTCCTTCTCTGTTTCTCGTTTTTTTTTCTTCCTTGCATTGATATATACGACATTGTTATGGGCGCAAATATCGAGCGACAACGTTCATTAGTGTTTAGTGCCAGAGAAAAGGAAGAGAGAAACAAAACGACATATATAGTTGAGTATTCTTCTATCTACCTATGTCCATATTTGCCACTGATCGTGCGACTCACCTTCCTTTTCGTGCTTTAATTAATTGTATGTATGCACAGTACCTCTCCCGATAGTAGTGGTACACTTGCTGTTTGTATATGCGTCGCACACGTTGGCTTGTAAAAAAAAGTATCGAGAGTGCAATAGTGAAACGAAACTCTCTTTCCTCGTTCTGTCTGCATCTGCAGTCAGTCGCTATAGCAAACAATTGCAACTCTGTTACTCTATTCTGCAACTGCCAATACTATCAACAAGAAAGCGACGTAGGAGCAATAAGAATATGGATATTGAAAGATTTTTTTTTTGTTCGTTTCTCTTTCTCTATCGACACTTTTTCATCACTTTCATCCGACCAGCAAGGAGCAGCACTCTCGGCTTTTTTACATTATACATCATCCAGCTACCAACACCAGTTTAAACAAAAGAAGAAGTGCAGTGCATGCAAAGAAAGAATTTCTCTCTTTATGTTGTCAATCGCTTACAACGCACATAGTCGATATTCCGGGATTTGCCTTCTAGGCAATGTTGTTTCTGGAAAAACGTATCGGCAATTAAATGAGCAAGCGAGCGAACAAAAAGAAGAAGAGAGAAAGACAAAAAAGACTACTTTTTTGACGCAGGTGTGAGCAGATGGTGGTGATCATGAAAGATGAATGAACGCGGATATATAAACGTTCGACCCGATATATAATCCTACGAGCAGACGGTAGATATGTTCAATAAAAAGGAAAGAAAGATGCCCTAAAGGCATGCATCTCGTCGGAGAAAAAGACGTAAAAAGATGATAATGCGAACAAAGCATAAAACAGTTCTCTCTCTCTGTCAGCTAATATTTGACTCGCCTCTCGCTCGTTTCTTTTTTTTATTGCAACACCATCATCTTCCATACAACACACGGAAAAACGAGAGAGAGAGAGAGATCACTTAATTATGGACGATGTTTACAATGGTATGCAAAGTTTGAGAAAAAAAAAAGTTGTAAGAAAATTGAGACAACATCAGAAAAGTCAAGATAATCAATGCATACATATATATGAGTTATAGACATGAAAAGTTGCAAATATTTCTTCCTTTAACAATAATACCAAAGAAAAAGAAAAAAAGAAATGATCAAATGTTATATGCATAATTGTTGTTGTCTTTTCAAAGATTTAAATTAAAGTAAAAAGAAAGTATGTAAAAGTAATAAAGAAAAAGAAAATATATAAGACGTATTTCTTCACTGATACCTTGAGAAATAAAAAACAATCGTGTCAAGTCTCTATGATTTTTCTTTTTCTTCTATAATACTCTTCATAATTCAATCACAAAACAAACTTGAAGACACACGATAATGCATTATGAAGAAATAATCAATACTTTAGTTTTGTTTTTTATTCAAATTTATTATATAATTTCTATTCATTTGAGTTTATTTATCAATATATTTTTGATAATACTATGATTTTTTTTTGGTTATAATATTTAATTGATGATTAATATTGATCTTTTTTTTGTTCTGAATATTGTATGATCGATAGATGATAAATATGTGTCATAATACGAAGCATAATTTCAATCATTTCATATGATGATTGAATATAATTAATATCGACATTGTCTTTAATAGTTAATCAATATAGAAGTTTTACTATTGATATATGGTTGATTGATATTATTGAATGTTTTGTAATCGATTTAATAATGAAAAAGTATTAAATAACATCGAATAGACTATATAGATCTTGAGTAATAATACAAGCATTAAAAAATGATGGTACTTGAGTCTGGATCATTGATAAGGATATTTAATTCAGCAAATACTATTCAACATGAATAGAAACGAGATAAATGATTTGATATAATTTTTATGAATATTTGTTTTGAGACTTTTTTTTGTTTCTTTCTTTTTTCTAAATGATAATGATTAACTGATAAATGTTTGAGACATGGAAGATTACAAATATGTACCTGATTACATATTGTTTCATACGGATAATAGAGTTTAATAAGATGAATAATAACGGCACATCTATTTGATTCAATTAATTTACAGTTAGAAATTATTAAACTATCATTTTTACAAATTCAAATGTTTAATCTTCGTTCCTTTATTTTAGGCGTTGGTTCCATTGGTACTTTTCTTGAAGGTCCAGTTATTGGTTGGATTGTTGCTCAATATGGTTGGTCAGCTATGTTTACTTGCATGATTTTATTAAGTGTTTTTGGTGCAATAACATCATTTCGAGCTGCTCATTATCAACGTATGATCAAACTTTCACCAGCTGCATCATCATCATCACTCAATCAAATTATTTCGTAGACTAACTAATTGTTTTTCTTTATCTTGCTTTTCTCTATTTGCAATTCATTTATATTTATTTCTTAACAATATCAAAAGCCTAATAACAAATTATATAATACATGAAACAAAAAAGAAAAAGGAGTTTATCAATTCTAGATACTAAAAAATCTATCATGGGTTACATACCAAAAATGATATTACCACCAACACCAAGTGCAGCCGATTTACTTCGGACATATAAGTTACCAGCTTTGCGTCGATTTGCACAAAATTTTTTACTTGATCCTCGTGCAACGAGTAAATTTGTTGCATGTGCAGGCAATATCGAAAATAGTATGTAGATAGAGAGGTAATATATAGCTAAGTTATCTATTCTTTCTGTTTTGATAATAATGAAGATTGAATTTGATCAATGATTATTTAGAATTTGTGATTGAAGTAGGCCCAGGACCAGGTGGTATAACGAGACAATTATTTGAACATGGAGCAGCACGAGTAGCAGCTATTGAAAAAGATGTTCGTTTATTTCCTGCATTACAAGTAGATCAAAATAAGTTTTGTTTGATAGCATAAAAATAAAAATAAAATTTTTTTTAGACATTATCTAATGCTGTTGATTCTCGTCTTCGACTTTATCTTGGTGATATACTTGATTTTAATATTGAATCTGTTATACCTGATGATATTACTGCTCAACATGGTTCATGGGAATCAAATGAATCTTCACCAATTCATCTAGTTGGTAATCTTCCATTTAATATTGCTATTCCACTTCTTATACATTGGCTAAAACAAGTATCAACTCGATCAGGTCCATTTTCATTTGGTTATCGAATACCAATAACAATATGTATGCAAGAAGCTGTTGCTGGTCGAATAGTATCAGATGCATTAATGGATCAACGTGGTCGTCTATCAATTATTTTTCAAAATTGGTTTGATTGTCGTGTTAAACATGTATTTTCTGGACGAGCTTTTGTTCCAGCAGCTAATGTTAATGTTGCTGTTATTCAATTAATTCCATTGAAACGACCATTAGTTGAAGTTAATTATGATCTTTTAGATAAAGTAACTCGAGCTGCATTTCATATACGAAATAAAAAAATAGGAATCACTTTGGCGTAAGTTTTGCTTTGTTGTTTTTTTTTCTCTAAATTTCAAGTTTTCTTTTTTCATTTTTTCAGATCTCTTTTTCATGAAGAGACTTGCGATGAAGATACACGAGAATTACTTCATCGTGCTCATCTAAAATCAGACACCATGTGTTTAACATTAACTGTAGAAGAATTTGGTCATCTTGCACAAATCTATGGTGATATTATAAGTCGACCTCGACCTATACATGAACAACTTGATCGAAAAATTAATAAAGAAGAATTGACATTTGAATTAGGTGAAACTTATATTAGACCGGAAAAAATAAAAACAAAGAAAAAGTCAAAAAAAGATTGGGATGAATAAATAAATAAAAGCCTATGTTTTCATTAGGTGAATCTATATTTTCATACGAAAAGTAATTTGATTGTTAAAGTTAAACTTTACTAAACGACATGTTCGTGCTATTCAAAAGAGAGCATTGCATTTTAATTTGATATAATAGCAATGATAAAGAGTTAGAATCAATTTTAAAAAAGTTTTACTGTATTTGACATCAATATTTGTGAAGGAACAATTGAATGTGTCGAAGAGAGATATTGACAAATGATTGTATCAATGTCAATGTCTTTAAACTTGATGATCGATATTCTAAGCAAATAGATCGAAATTTAACATGATAATATCTTCAAATGAAAATGAAACTAATCATAATAATCAAATGATATCATGTCGTTGAATTGAAATATTAGATTAAACTCAGCATGATCCTTTGATCTTTATTTAAAAAAATTCACGTACAAGTTTCAAACGTAATAGAATCATAAAATAATATATACATTGCCCTTTTCTTTTTCTTATATATGATGAAATGATAATGAATTTTGACATATCTCAATAAAAAAAAAATTTTATTGTACACTTTCTTTATAGTTTTGTATAAAACTATATAATGAAAAAATCGATTATATAGATCATTACTACAACAACACTTCTGTACACAAACATATTACTACCCTTGCAATTGATTCTGTTGGAACTCATGGATAGTATCACATAGAACAAAGAAAAACAAACAAGTCAGTCAAGAAGACAATATTTAGTAGAAACAAGCACTAACATAGATTAAACTGAAAGCAGCACAAGAAAAAAATTCTATGTTGCTATTCTGCTCAGACACTACAAAATATGAAAAAAGCAACCATATAACTTTGTTGTTTTATCAAAAATTAATTCGATAGGTGAAAGAATACAGTTGTAAATTGGGTTTTTTCTTGAAAAAAATTTGTATTTTTTAAAACAAATTTGGAAGAGAAAGAATAATAAGCCAAATTTATGTAGTCTCATTGCTTAGAAAACATAAGTTAACATCTTACTTTTATCAACAGAGAATGTAATAATGTTGTCTGAAAAATAGTATCATGATTGTCAACAAACTACAAACTTTTCTGATTATAATGCTACCAAAGATAGTAATTTAAATAGAAATACATGCAGTACTGATAACAGAGTTTCATAGAAAAAGATAATCGACTAGTTTTCAAAGTTCGCTGCTAATTGTTCAGTGAAATTGTCTGAAGGAATGAACATAGTTCTATAAAATTGGAAATTTATAATCTCTGATATGAACTGAATTGCAAATCACATTCGATCAGTTATAATATTTCGAAGTTTATGGAAACATTAAATATATTCATAAAGAAAATGTTCATGATTTGAATACCAAACTAAGAAGGACTTATGGGCAAAAATTATATAAATTAAAAACTAAAATTGGTTTCAACGATTGTTACATACCTATATCTTTTCGGTACGTGAACAAAAGGTCTTTTAACAAATCAGTAACATGTTTATTCGATTGTGGATATATCTATTTTCAGATCAATAATAAGAAAGATTATTTGTTTTACAAATACCTATTTTTCTAGTTTAGCTTTCATTTTTTTCAAAAAAAATTTTTGTTCATATGCTAGAAAAATGCTTAAGCCAGAAGAAACAATTCAATAGCCAGATCTAATCTGGTTTCAAGCAGACCTCATCGGATTCTCTCGAATATTTATAAGACCCGAATGAATGTTGTAGAAATATTGTTGGAAACTAGATGACAGCATGACATCCGGATTCTAAGTGAAGGAAATTTGATCGGATCCCACTCACAAAATCTGATGAAGTCCTATAAAATAAATCGATAAGATCCTATAGAGTAATCCTTTTTAAATATCGTAGAATACATTGAGTATTAATCCTAAACGAGACCAGACTAGAGATGGAACGCTTAAATTAATGTAAAATCGAGTCAAGTTTGATTGCTCGGAGAGGGAAATTACATTACCGGTTACTGAGTAACGAGTAATAGAAAATTTGTTTTCTTATCAAGATAAAGGTATTTTCAGAAATAAGAATGCTGTATAGAGCTTTGCCGAAGGTTTTCACGGTCGATAAATTTGAATCACAACATAGTGGCTCTAAATTTGTGACCTTCAGATTTTCACTCAGAAAGAGATACTTTTAAGAAAATATCAATATTTTATAAATTTCAATCAATCAAACTCTAGCCAAGTTATTCTTTACTCTGATAAGAATAAAATATGGGGATGTCTGAGTCATCTAGAAGAAAAAATCTTCTAACAGCCTGATTGGCTTGAATAACATGAAGCTTTATCGTTGTTATTTCAGCAAAGCTTTTCTCTTCTATTGTTCATACCAAACATAATACTGTTTGGAGTGATCAAGAGTTCCCTCTCAGATGGTCTGAATAACTCCATGTTCGGTCCTTACAATAGTAGAGAAAGTCTGTGCTACAATCTGATTGGCTAATGAAAAAGATCTTAGTGAATCGAATTTCATCAGAAGAATAGATCGCTACAGAACAGAACTGTTCTAATGTCCTATCTGGTTCTTCAGAGAGGTTAAGGATTTCTGATACTTCTCCAGATCAATGACATATTCATATTATTGATAATATACATTAATAGGCGAGGGAAAACAGATTATCACTTGGTTTATTTTGATGAATAGATACAAAAGAACGAAAAGTGGTGTAGGTTATTATGTTATTGATAAATCATACATTAATAATCTCAAAAAGAGACAACTTAATTATATACCAGTACGTTTAAGGTTAGTGTAATAAATGATGATTGTTTCACATCAGTCCACTCTGATTATTTCGGTATCTACAATGGTTTGTGCTTCGGTACCTCATGTCGACGATCTTACTGTTAGTCAATGAAAATGAATTAACTTCAACCATTAAAAAAATAATTAATTTTCGTCAACAAATCAGGTTAATAAACGTGTAATCAACTGACACCATAAATGATATTTAGGTGTTTGTGCATCATTAACTAAATAATGGAAGTGATTTTGTGAAACATGTAAGTCTTCTCATTTTTTATCCGACAGTACTTTTTTCACAGTCGTTCGATTAATTTCATCTATTCAATAGCAGTGGTGCATAATGAAACCATGGAAAATAGGTGGATGATGGCATAAATGAAAAAAGATAAGCCAGATGGATCGACATGGTTCATTATTAGACTCACACTTAGCTGAATTTATGTAACAACGTCGATTCGGCAGATGGCCTTGAGGACCTGATTCTTATTATTTAAGAAAAGTATCTATTCCTATGAGTAAATATTAAGTCAGTATACGGTAAGTATTTGTTTCTTTATTTTTTCATTTAGGTTTTTCTTCTCTGACTTTTCTTTTCATTACAGGTCTGTCTTCATCTCTATTCACCGCTAGATTTCTTCATAGAGATGTACGTCACGTTTCGTTCTTTGCATTTATTGATTACAACAGCTTAAGTAAAAGTTTGAGTTTTTTCTTTCCTCTTTGTGTATATAAATAATAACGTATGAATGTTGTTGATCTGAAGAAATACCAGAAAAATAATTATGTAACATTTTTGTTTCTCATAGAAAAAGCATACTTGACGGTCTAGTGATAACAGAACAATACGATTTGCCAGAAAACAATTCAAATGATCATTATTCCCTTGAGTATAATGAACTATTGTTTTCTAATTTTAAAACTTTTTTGTAGGTCGAAAATTACAATTTAGAAGGATCCGACCGACACAACACCTATTGAAATGGGTCAACTATTTGCCGGCATTTACAAAAAAATAAAAAACAGAACTCACAAGTGAACTTAAAAGAATTAAGGGATTCGAAAAAGAACAAGTGATTTGAGATGTATGAGTTATCTTGTTCTTCTATTCTCTGCTGGAGACTCATATTTTTATTCTTTGTTGGATGATGAGAACTTAAAGAACTAGAACATGATTCGAAGAAAAAATTGTAACAAGTTTACGATAAAATAAAGAAATATGAGAATAAAAAGAAAACGGCCAACAAATGTGTAAATGTGGTTGAAGCAAAAACTCGCACCCACACCCTTGAGATTGCATAAAGCTTTTCAGCTCAATTTTGGTAGATTTTGACGGGCGAATCTGATTAAAACGAACGGAATTCACCAGAGATCCAAAGAAATTAGTAGTATCCTATAGGAATCTAATTGAAATTCGACAATCAAAGTATTTGTCGCTTCTAAGAGTTGGATACCGTTGGATCTATTAGTGACTTCATAACTTGAATTTCCACCGGATTCTGTCGGTTAGTTCGTTCTGACCAGATCCAGTAGAGTTCAGTATCGGATTCATTCACCTGGAGAGCTATATTGAAAGAATATATAACATATCTTTCATTGGAAAAAACTTTTATTTCGTTAATTTTTGTTCGAAATACAAATTTGAAAAATAATTAAGTTTAAAAGAAAATAAAAAAACTACAACTCATTTTTGTATGATGTCTACCAACGAGCTGCACATATTTCTTACATATGTTGCCTTAAGTTTACTGATGAGAATGTTCATTGATACCTTTAATGCTCTTTATTTTTTTGTGAATGGTGCGCATCGATAATCTGTAAATTAAACATAAAAGTAACTACCTGAAAAATAACTACGTCAGATGAGTGGATCTCATAAAAGCTGTCAAATTTTGCTATTGTTTTCAGTATGCGTTATTCTTATTCATGAATGAGTGATGCATAATATACTGTTTATTTAATTATGAAATCTTTTAAAACATGTGTTATAATTTAGTAATGGCCTCTAATATTTCTTGAGATGTTATTATTGTTGCAAACTCTTCATTCAAAGTTGCTAATGTATTGAAATGCACCTCGTTTGCTTTGATAGTTTTGCCTTCAAAGTGTCGATCGAACGTTGCTGTTGCATCTCGTACAAAAAATACATTGAAACCAAGATTATTGGCCATTCTTGCTGTCGTCTCACAGCAATGATTAGTTGTGTAACCTACAATAACTAATGTCGATGTACCTTGTTCTCGAAGACGTTTCTCGAGATCTGTTCCAATGAAAGCAGAATTAACCGATTTGTGCAAAAGTGGTTCATTGTTCGTAGCTAATGGCTTGGCATAATCTTCAATTTCGTTTCCAGCATTCGAAGGACGAAGAGGTGAAGTTGGAATTATTGAATCATGCTTGACATGTATAATGGGCAAATGAGCTTTACGAAAACCTGTCAAGAGCTTTGTAATATTTTGTTCCAAATCTGGTGTACATCGATGACCACCCCAATATTGTTCATCACGAAAACCTTTTTGCACATCAATAACAATAAGAGTTGTTGTGGTGGAAATATCAACTTTCGACGACATCTAAGCGAAATAATACTCATAAAGATTAGCATAACAGTTTATGGAACATGAGAAGAACCATGATTTGTCTAACAGCAATCTTTCCATAATAACTAAGATTTAAAAAACTCTTGTTTCATATATATAGATACTGATAGAATCTGTTTAATATAAAGACAAAAGATGTATCTATCAATGAATATGATCATTTATGAGCATGATTTTTCTTTATGGGTGTTTAGTTCTAAAAATAGTCAAATATCGCATGTTCATCATTGTTTAAAGTTGACAAAGAAAAAAAAACTATAGACATACATTATAAAATATCCCCACTCAATTCAAAATATTGTCTACTTTTATAATTATACTTGAGGTTTGGATGGGGATTAAAAATTTATGAAAACCTGATATGACGTGTCATTAATTTGTGTAGTCACAAAAGAAACCTGCCGCTGAGATATACGAGCTAGTTTTCATCTGATAAAAATTTACTCTCTCGCGAATAAAAACGAAAAAAAAAGCATCCAACGTTATTCTTTTCACTGAGGTTGATCACTACTGCTTTTGTTTAAGTTGATAACCATGATAAAAAAGAAATATGAAACTCATCACTTCTTGTCTTTCCTTATCTTCTTTTATAAAGTAACATTTGTTAACCATAGAATAGAATGTAGGACAGTGAGAAAGAATTATAGAAAGTTGCTAATAAATTCAAATAGCTTTGTCATAACTGAATAGTTTGTAAGAGAATTCGATGTAAAAATAGAAAATCGGAGACTTTTGTCAAAGTCGCAAAAAGAAATATGATATGGTTGACAATTTTATCAATCGAGTAACTCGCAATTAACAAATAAATAGGTTGGGATTTTAAAAATAATATGTAAACAACGATCGAATATTTATAATATGACAGAACCTTTCTATCAATTTGTCTACTGAAAACACCCTGATCTTAATCAAGTTTAACATATAGACTCGATGACTACGTAATTAAATTTTTTATTTTAATTATCACATTATACTGTGCAAGATGATTAAAATAATTATTATTGATAACATATTGAAGGTTTCCAATTATTTTTTTTCTATAGTGTCATCTTTCATACTGGACACTAATGAGTTTGAATACCATTTTGCACGGCCTATGATAGAACATAAAATGCAATAACTTTGTATTTATCAATAAAAGAAGTGAATGTCAAAAAAACGACACACTCACTACGTTGTGTAGACGAGATATATACTGTTCTAGAAGTTCAGTGAACAATCAAACATTAATAATTCTTCAGCAGTTCAAAAGATTTATATATGATCTTTACAGTTTTCTATTACACTTACAAAAAACTTATCTGATCTATTTCAGATAGAATGTCTGTGTATATCGTATTTCCAATTAAAATAGGTTGTTTTTTTAGAATCAAAGTCGAATCAATCGCTACTGTCAAATGAAAACCTGCCAATTCAAAATTGCGTTAGGACTAGATTCAAACGATCATTGTTAGGTGTTTGGACTATACAACTCATCTTCATAGAGCTGTTGAATAAACTATACCTTGTATGACTTTAGTAAGAAATATTTCATCATTATTTGATGAGTTATTATTTGTGATATTGAGGAAGCTTGTGCAATAGATCGAACACTTGATCTTGGCTCAGTTTCATAAGTCTCTTTAATTTCATTGATTTTCTTTTTAGTAATTATTCTACGTTTTCGTCAACGTGACCAGTTTTTCACACTTATAACTTCACAAAGTTGTTGTAATTTAGTTCGAATGGAATGTAGAATGGACGGGTTTCTTTTTTCAAATTCGTCTGGTACTTTTTTTTATTTGATGAGAGTCACAAAAATAGCTTGATACGAGTACTAGTCGATCAATTTATAATAATACAAGAAAAGTTTTTAAAAAGAAATTAATTATGATGAAAAAGAGTATACGTCTACGCCATTTGATTACGCAATCAAATCTAATATCTCATGTAAAAACAAAGTATTCTGAAGTTTATGATTAAATACTAAAGTTTGCGCTTGAAAAAGCTGATTAATAGTGATAAGTGAATTTGTTAAAGTATCGTTTATGTTAAGCGTTGCTTTTCTACTTTAAAAAAAAAACTGAAATTGATTTTCATAGTAAGAAGAAAGTCGATGTTACAAAAAACTCAAATTCTTTTTTCGAAAAAGTGAAACAACTGAAAAAATAATATTAATTAAGGGTTAGATTTTGTTTTACATAGTTCTACTATAAAAAATAGCAGAACTATTCATAGTATCTAAAGTGATCTATTCGTATCGATCGATTTTTACTTTTTGAAATAACTAGTTATAAAAAAGCTTGCTTATTTGGTAACTTATGTCGTAGATATTTTTCATAACAAAAGGACTGACAAAATTACTTTCAGCTGTGAATTAATAGATTTTTGCAACAAAAATCTAATCATAATTGATTAATGTCACCATGCATCTGATAGCATAATTGTGACGAATTTGAAAATTTAATCACATACTCACCTTTTTCTGTCTCATTGAATAAAGACAGTTTCGAGTATTATGTTAATAAAACATTTTCTGATCTTTCATTCAATTTGACAACCAAACTGGTCGGAGTATATATATACATATTGTCACTCACCATTCATGTCATACGGAGCGTGTTATATTTAATATTGACATTGATAGAAAAATATCAGCATCATTAGTTCAAATAAAAATTCAAAAATATGATTACTATGAATTGACATCGATTGTTGACTATATCTCTAATTCAAAAACCAAGTTTCGACTTGCATTAGCAAATCGTATATGGAAAAAGTAACAAATAATAACAAGAAAGAAATGTAGAATATTTGTGTAAAATAATAGTTCAAAATAAACTTTACAAAAAGTCCTAAACAATTACTACAGGTTTATCTAATAAAATACATATATTTTGATAAGCTGTTACATGACATGTGTTTCACTCTATGTTAATCTTGCGAGGTTTTTGAATTCGGATAAAGCTTAAACTTTCTCATGACAAATATTTAATTTTGAATAACATAAGTATTGTTCTCATTTTAATTGTTTTTTAAATATGAATAATGTTTCGAAAAGACTTCAAAAGTAAGGTCGACGAAGAAAAAACAACTTTTTAAATAAGAGATAGGATTAAAAAGGATCTCGTACCCATGTTGATTTTGGAAATCCATTCCTGATAACTGTTAAATATTTTGCCATTGATTCAGTTTATTTTATTTATACAGTTTAAATCATCGAATTTCCCTGTTAGAAGATCACAGACGAGCAAAAATTACATTGTCTTTTGTTATTTTAAACAAAAAAAAAAAATAAATAAGAAAACAGAAATTTTTTTTTGTTACATAAATAATCAGATATATTTTACAAATATATCTTAAAGTGTATTATCATTTTGTGTTGATCTTTCTTTTCTTAATTTACAAAAATGTAATAACAACTTTTCATGTCTAATAATCCATTCCACTATTGGCATAAACGTCAATTTAAAAACAAGAAAGGCTAATGCAAAGATACCAATAATAGTCGTTGTAAAAAGTATATTATGAAAAAGAATTTCTCCCATTCGTGAAATTGGTTCTTGTCTATTGATAACATAGAATTCTGTTTCACTAAAAGTGATAATAAGTGTATGTTGTGTAGATAGATAGCGAAGAAAAGCGCCTTGTTGTGAATAAACAAGACGATCATTGAGTGATCCATGAGTCGATGTTGGAATCCATATACCACTATAATTAGTTGAACCACTATAATCTAATGATTCTGTTCGATTAATAACTTTCGTAAGGGCAAAATTGATTTCTGTTGTTTGACTAAGAGTTTGATCGGATGTAAAAAATAATTGGCAATAGTCCATAGTTTGAACTACGTATGATGAATCATTACTTGCAGAACGAGAACCCATAAGACATATACAAACACCACCAATATAATATGATCCTATATAAAAGAAATGACATTTGTTTTATTTGAGACACGATTTACCTGTCAAATTTATTTGTATAGTCATTTGATGATTAGGCACAGGGTATACTACAGTGAGTGTAGCAATATCCGGTTGCACAGTGCAATTGATACGTGGTAATGCTACTGAATAAGTGCCAATATTTTCCTTAAAAAAGAAAATTCTTTTCAAAAATATATTGCTGCACTCAACAATTATACTAGTTCCGTTTGAAAATGGCCAGTATGTGATCAAAAAATTTTCTTTGGATCGAATCTTGAAAATTCATATTTTAAAAAATATGAAGACAAAAAAGACAGAAAAGAAAAGTTTATGCTAGACTTTTACGTAGTAATTGCTTTTATATTAATCATAGTTAAGAATTTCTCATTTATTTACCTGTGCAGTAACATCATCACAAGTATAATCTGTTTGTACAAAATTGACAGTCATAGTAAATTCTTGCATATCAAGCATATCAAATATAGGTGTTTCGTCAACAGATTTAATTGTAGCTAATAATTGTAGAGCTGAACTAAATTGAGTATTTCTTAATGATGTATCACATACAAAATAACTATCACTTGATGTTTCTACTGGATATTTTATAACAAAAACTGTACCAAACCAAAAACTATAGATAATAAGTACAATGATAGCAAATGAAATAAGTCCACCAAACCATAATTCTCCGTTACCAATTAGATCGGAATGACGAAAAACCTTTTCAAGACGTTGAAAATGCTTCTTTCCTGTTGGTGAATAGTATAAAATTCCCATGATAAGTAGAATAATAAAAGCAAAACATAATGTAATTAGAGCCCAAAAAAATGGTGAAATGAGAAGACATCGAATAGGTGTTGTTTGTAGACTAAATGTATTTGTCATGAGAATATCATCGAATGATGCCATTGAAGATGATATAGGATAAGCATAAGCTTGACTTTTCGATTGAAAAATTGATTTATTTACATCCCTGACTGAGGCGAGAGGACAGAACGAATTCGACGAACAAGCGACACACTCTATAGTCGGATATCCTATATACGTTTCATACGATGAATTATATGATATACCTTTAAGATATCAATGAAGTAATATTTAAAACAAAAACGAAAAATTCCTTACTAATAAGAGAACTTCTAGTCATTGTTGGACATATCATACATGGTGTTGGACCTCGAATACTTTTATAAGTTCCACGTGGACATGCTATTGAATGTTGTACTGGAACATTAATATCATCTGTTTTCATATAGTAACCGGCATCGGCTGAAGGAATCAACACTACCATTCCATCGGCTGTCAGTATAGCTAATTGATTATCGTATGTTTTTGTTAATCGAAGAAATGTTGGAGGTGTATTTGACCATTGTTCTAAAGTTTGTTGATTATTTGGATAAGCATATAATATATCAGCAGAAGATATATTTATTACTTGTATTCGAGATTTTGCCCAAGGAAGTGTAGCTTTATCACTAAGAAGTAAAGCAGTTTGTATACCATCATCATCAAGCCAACCTGTTGAACGTGCTGGATGATTAAATATATTAATTAATGTTAAACTTGTACTATTAAATGAAAAAAGATATGTTTTACGTAATTGTGGAATACCAACAAGAACTTGTTGAGTTAAATCATGAATTGAAACAGACATAACATAATCAAATTGATAAGTAAACGCATAACGTCCACGAACAAATTTTTGATTATCGGAATACAAAGTATAATTATCAACAAGAGTCATATTATATGGAGGATATAAACGAACAAGATAAACAGCTGGTAAGGTTTTTTCAATATCAAATTGATAATAACCAGCAATAATTGCCATTGAAAATCCATCATTTGTTTCACTTACATCTAATGCATGAGGTTTAATATTGATCGATGGAAATATATCATTCCATAAAAGACTTTTTACATATTTATTTTCAATATCATAAATAAAAATATCTTGTGAAAGAAAACCATATGCATATTTTCCATACAGATCGACTTGTAATGTTGATAATTCCGATGGTTCACGTTTCCATACTTTCGCATCATATTCTCCTTCATTTATCCTTAACATTTGACTACACGAATTATTTGATAAACCAATTCGAGTTTCATGTGAAAATGTAAATATACCTAATTTTTGATATTGACCATCTGTTGAATTCGTTCGTAAATAAACAAATGATAATTGTGAAGAATTTTGTCGTCGACCGACAGCTATACTAATGACAAAATCATTTGGTGTTTTATAATTATAATTACATACAAATGCCATTCCAAAAGGAGCCATTGAAACCATATAACGAAGAGCATCATTTTGAGCAAGTACAACAAAGTAATCTGTACTAGCTATACGTATTCCATATGCATCATAATCATGTCTATCCGAATAGATAATTGCATTAGTAGGAGAAAAAAAAAATTTTAACAAAAGAATAGCAAATACATTAAATATTACCAGCATCAAATACATATTTTCATTTTTTTTAAATAGAATCCTACAACTTCATAATATATACATACGCATTAAGCTGCTATCAGCTAGTATGATTCATGTTATTCAGAGGTCCTGCTGTTAGATCAGTATAAATAACATTTCAAAGAAATATATTTTGTATAATGTCATGTCTTTTGATCATATTTTTTGAGGTAACAACAACATAATTACTAACATATTATTCAGTAAAATTCAATAGAGTTATTATTATTGGCAAAGTAAATAGAATATATATCAAGAACTAGGCTAAACAAATATATTCAAGAGAGAAATGTTTTTCAAAAAAAAAATAATTTTTTTGATCATATCAATAAATTCAATAGAATTATAATTTGTATTTCTTCAATAATTAATATTCAGATTTCATGCTTTGTATCATTTAGTTTTGATACAGACTAATGAAAAAAAATTACTAGAATAAATTTAACATCAGACACTGCATAATATACTTTATTGTTTCATATATATTGCACTTTGCACAGGTTTTATAAAAATGTATGTAATGTTTCAAGCATTCAGAAGTATTCTAATGAAAAATATGGTCTGTTTTTATTAACATCAATGCATTTTCTTCTTTCGATGCACAGCAAGTACTACTAATCGAAGCAAGAAAAAAAAATAATTTAAGAGAGTTTTAAATACTTTTTTTTTCCTTCTTTTCGTATTAAAAATTCATGATAAAGAATTTTTTATGTATACGCATTTTTTTCCATGTTTTCATTGCTATTTACTTTTTTTTTTCTTTATTAAAACTCAAAACAAAAAAAATATAAATTAACGATTCTAAATTTTGTTTATTATCAGTAAAAATTCATTTTTAATGAACGTGTTGTTTTTCACGAAGCCATCGTTGGAAATACCAAACAATAACAATATCCCATAAAATAAGAAAAATCATTGAACCAGCACACAATATTAAATCGGGTTTATTTCTTTGATCAATTATTTTTTGATTTTTTTCATAATCCCAATAAACACCATGCATTTGACATACAGTTACAAAATAAATACATAAATGAAATAAATGATGACTTTGCCCAATAAAATCTAAAGCACCGGGCCAAAAACGTTGAGGTAAGTCAAAAGCAAAAAGTGTTGCACCAATCAGAAACAATATCACTTGTCCTAAATGACATATTGAACTTAAATTTAATGGAAATTTACATGAAAATAAACCAATAATTAATGGAATAATTGAATAAATCCATAAAATTCCACATGGTAAAAATTGACAAATACGTTTTAATGGTGGATATGGTGGATGAAAATAATATTGAGCAAAACAATTTAAAAAACAAGCAAAAATACCAAGTAAAAGAAGAATAAATACATATTGATATTCAATTTTATCATAATACCATTGTGGTGCTGAATAATAAATATGAAGAAATCCTGAACCAAAACCATGTACACTAATACCAACATAATCAATTGCAAAACATGTTCTATGAACTGTTTCAGATTTTGAATGAAGTAAATGTGCAAATGCTGAACATATAAACATTATTATAGCTGTACATAATGATATAGCAAATGGCCATGAATGAGAATTTTCATAAAATTTTAATTGTTGATTATAATATTGTAATAAATATCCCATATATAATATACCTATTATATGACTCCAAACATTTATTGTTTCATTATGTTTATGAAATAATGATTTCCAATAATAAGACCATGGTTGATGAATTGAACGATAACCATGTAATATAAATGATTCAACCAAAAGTGGAGGAACATCATTGAATGTGAGTGGATAGTGTGACATATTTTGGAATGAGATAAAAACTGATCGAGCACGAATATAAACACGTTGTAATCTAGCACAAATATCATGTTCGAAAGAGAAAGATACTGTAGGGAAATAATAAGTAAACCGTGTTGTATCAAACATTATTTATTTCTTTCTAGAAGAAAATATAAATTTAATTACAGTTTCAAATGAAAAAATTTATTTATAAAACCAATGAACAAGAAACAAATATAAAAACGGAATCTTTTTTCTCACATTCGAAAGATAATATACATCATTTACAACTTTTGTTGAATAATAAAACGGAAAACAGGAATTTCACTGAAAGAGTTTTCAGATCTGGACTTTCTATCCAGACCGAAAAGTCACCAGAACTTCCGATCGAATTTAAGTATACTTTATTAATCCTCATAAAAAGTTATATTTCTATAAATAATTGGCATATTCTGTAGTGTTTAACAGTATGTCGTTCTATAGGTTACTATGGTATTTTGCTGTACACTACGAAGTACATCAACTATTCATAGAAATAAGGCTATTTATGAGAACTAATGAAGTAAACTTTGACTTAGTTCGGCAAGAAAATTCCTTGGACCAAAATTAATACGATCCAATCAAACCACAGTTTATTCCTATATTGTCAAAAAATTTATGATAATAAAAACAGTGAAATATATTGTCGTATAAATTCACATGTAATCAAATGACAACAACAAAGCATATCGAAACAAGTTATATTTCTTTTAGTTGTTTTTACATTACTCTTTAGTTTTTGAAGTACATTTTGTTACAACTGTTAGTTTTTGTAATTAATGTATCATTGTAGTGTTCTCTTTGACTAGAATATCATTTTCAAATAAGAAAAATAAAAATAATCAGAAGTCTTTAATACATGATATAGTATATAACATTTGACGATCTGTAAAGAAACAGTAATTAATAGTTGAGACCATCAAGAAACATACATTATTGTTTAATAAATGAAACATTTGAAAATTTACTTACTTTTTTTCCCATCTGTTGTTTGTTACATTTAACATCAATATAATGGCAGTCATTATAATATTGAAGATTGCCTAAGAAAGTGAAGAAGCAATCGGATGAGGACCTGGTAATGTGTTTCATGCGATGGAAGTCTACGCCCGAGTTCACCACTAAATGTGTATGTACGCACTTTTTTCTCTTTCTTTTCTCGTTCTTTTTTTCTTCCTTGAATGTCAAAGAAGGTGATAATAGTTTTGACTATATTTTTCAGCAAAAGTAAAATCGATCAGTAAAAATATTTTTAAATTTTAAAGAATGACAACTTTATATGTTGTCTTAATCAATAGACAATTTTTAATGAAACGTAAAGAAATTGTAATTCTATCAATATTTTTCACAGCAAAATAAGATTATGACTATTTGGCAGATGACATTTATCACAGAGCGTTTCTATACAGAGTTATATTTATGATCGATAGCATACATTTTTCTTATCAAATGCATACACAAATACGGTTACTTTTGTCCTTAATACTAATAGACGTTGCTGGATTTATTCTTTCCAGATTTTTGTTTTCCTTCATCGATTAATCAAGCTTCTTTTTCTGTTCAAGTAAAAGACTCTCGTCTGACCTTTAAGACAACTGTCATACGTTATTTATAAGTTTATGTATATACATATATACATTATAAATATCTACACATTATCTATTGATTTCCACAAGACAATAGTTAATAGTTATTATGTTGTATTTAATGAACGAGAGCTATACTATTCATATAATGCATAGATTTCATCTCAATATCAAGTTAGCGCACATATTTAATTAAAAAAAGTGTATATATAGTTTCATTAGTGCATGAAATCGTTGTTGGTTTGAAAAAATTTCTAGAAACAAGATAATCAAAACAAAGAACATCAACAATAAACGAGACATTATCAATTCCAGATGATAAATATGAAGAATATACAATTATGATAAAACTTAAGTATTTTTAATACAAAATAGATTATTCTTATTATTTGTTTCTTCTTTGTTGCTTATTGACGAGATAAGAAGACAAAGTTATTTAAAAACCAGTATAGCTATTAGAGTAACAATAACACAGCAAATAGCAACAAAACACATAATTAATTCTAGAAGATAAATGAGGGATAAATGACTTCAAAGTAAAATGAAACTGCACTCATGTGTGTCTCTGAAAGTTCAGCATAGCATCCAATTTCTTCATTATTAACAATTGTTACTAATTCTAATAAATCACTATTTTGCAATCTGTTTAAACATATCACCAAATATATCTATGTAGAAAACAAATCGTTTGGAACGATTCAAATCAAAGCAGAGTTTTTTGGGAAACAGATGGCTTTCTAAGGACTGGCTTAGTTTCTTAAGATATTTTGTCTAGTATGCAAAATATAGCTCATAGAATGAATGATCATCATAGTCGAAAATGCAAAAAGAATTCATTTTTCAATAAGGACAGCAATAAGGTCATTTTAGTGATATCAAATGAAAGTGATTAAAGGTCGATTGTTGCACATCTGAAAAACAGGCTGAAGTCATGAAACTATAGAATTACAAAGAGGTAAACAAAATTTCAAGAATAAAATTCGATAAAATGTAGATGATGTTTATTCTTCAAATCTAATCGAGCTGACAATACTGGTTTGTTGATGTATTTCGATTTGAATGTGACTCATGGTCTGTTTCCAGTCAAACTTTGTTGTTCTTTAGTAGCCTAAATAGTTGAACAATTCGATCCAATGATCATTATGTTTGAGATTCAGCATCGAATTCAAATATTCTACTCTTTATATAAATCATATCATTTAGTGAATTTTTAAATAATCGTTTGGCTCAGAGGCTCGAATGAACCAATCATTCAATTGATTGAAGAGTAAACATAGTTGTTGCTTTAGATTGATGCATTGTTTATTGTACTAAATCCTGAGTTGACCGGCTGTAATAGCTGCTATATCAACAGTTAACAAAGACATATCATCATCAACAGAAGGTTACCCATATTTGCATGATATGTGATGCAGAAAATTGGGATAAGCTAGGAATCTTGAAAGTCAACATGGCGAATCAAAAACTAGCAGAATCATTTGCTTTGAACCTCAATTGTATCTCATTTATTTCCCAGTACGGTACAAGTTTTTTTCACAAAAATGAATGGGATGTCCATCTGGGTTATTTTGCAAATTTCCTTCGAACATATAACTGATTGAATATGGTCTTAAAATCGATAAAAATCATAGTTACTGAAGAATATTTACATATGTTAGATCATATCTGTTTGACTCGTAGTAGAATGCATACTAATAATTGATGAGAAATGTCAAATCTATAACATAACTATGACAGCAAGTGTTTTTTCTATTATCATTGAAAATGTTTTCTATTTCAGCATTTTATACTTTATCTAAAATCTGATGAAATTCTTTGTACTTTTTTTTGAGTATTTTGTTAACAACTTAAAATAAAAATATAACAGCAACGAAAAAATACAGATTTCTTGATATATAGTAAAGATTTACATCTAAACTATAACGATTAAGCCACAATTCAAGAACACAAAATTCTTGTTTCGTGAGTGAAAATTCGGTCAGCATGAATCTTATTAGAAACTTAAGATCTGCTTTTTGCAGGTAAGAATTTTATTCTGAAGCATACCTAAAAAGAAACTTGACCAACTGTCATGAAAAACAATGATCACAATGTTGATTGGTTTTATGAACTTCTTAAACTACATTCAACTAGTAACGAATTGAAAAAGAAAACAAAAACAGTTACTCAACAGTAAAATCAAAATGCAAGTTCCAAACACCATGTTATAAGTTGAGGTTGACATTCCAATCATACATTCCTTTCAATTTTTATGAGTTGTATAGAATTTCAAATATTAAACAATGATCAACGATCATTATATAATCATTTCTTTTTTTAGCTTAATACCATTATCAATAATCTTGTTGCATCATTTCCTATTTTAAAAAGTATAAACTTAAGAGCTCTTTCTCATTAGAGATATATTGCTCGATTGAAAAAATATATAACAAAAAGAAGGAAAAGCGGAAATATGATAAGCAATAGAATGGATAATACTATTTCAATACTATAAAGAAAAAAACAAAGAGAAATATATAAGAAACAACAATACAAAAAAGTATTCTCAAATGACTCAAAAGAAAATAATGTTGAAACAGAACAATGATGAAAACAGCGAACATTGGAATATTACTTTTTTTTTATTACATAATAACGACAATGGTTTCGATGTTAACTAACTCTTTTGCTTCTTTTTCATGAAATTAAGATATTTACTTCACAATAATTTCTATTGTTCTACTTGTTTTCTTTTTTGTTTTGATGATTGACTTTGAAAAGATGATTTTTATTTTGTAAAACTATTTTAAAAAATGAAATTAGAATAAATTTAGTGATTTATTTCTTTCCAAGATCATCAAATCATATAGTAACAATAAAAATTAATAACAAATCAATTTTTTATTCTTCTATTTATTGTTGTCAGGTCGAGTATTTAAACAAAAACAATTGAAAAATCATTTAGAGTATTAATTTACATGGAAGCAAGACATTTTATTATCTTGAAAAATCTCGAAAAAAAAAATTTTTTTTAACAAAAAGTATCTTGGAAATGAGTTCGATCAACATAAGTCTTCGAAATCTTTTACATTTTGATAAAAATAGTATGACATCTTATATATGTAAGATATGCAAAGACGCCCTGTCTTATTTTGTTTTTTGCTGATTTGTACTTGTATAATAAGTCTTCTTTCTTTTTTTTTTCTTGTCTTTCTCTTTCTGTTGTTCTCAAGTCTTTTTTCTTTACATAAGCATTCAATAGTAATCGTGTTTCGTATTACATTCGAATCGATTTTAAATAAGAAAACACATGCACACTTTTTTCCTCATTGTTATATTGTAATTTGCTTCTGATTTTCGTTCTTGAGTAGGCGGTGCCATGAAAGAAATAAAACTCATCAACATATAATTATACAAATAAGAATAATGAAAGATTTTTTTTTTTTGTTCATGTAACTTGTCTTTAAATATACAATAGAAAAAGAAAATAAAAAGTAAACCATTGATTGACTAAAAAAAGAAAAATTATTATTATATATATATATTTTTTTTTGAGTATTTCATTCGATATTCATTTTTTCTAGATAAAAATCTATATTATTGAACAGTACAATGACTACCGTTTCCTATTCATCACATACTTCAGCATCGACTATGAAAGATATTCAACATTTATTTAAAAAACAAGCTAAAAGTATTTTTCCTCCTTTTCAATCGTATCCAACAGGTTTACAATATTTTAATATGCGTGTTACTCAACGTCTTCATCGTTATCGTTCAATGAAAAGAAAATGGCAAGAAGTATCAACATCAGTTCAAAATATTTCTGCTTTATCAACAACATGTGATTCTCCAATATCTTTACCAGACATAATAGCAATTACACAAGATATAGTAAAAAGTTCAACTATTCCAACACAAAAATTAGTTAGTGAATTAAAACCTTATTGTATTAATGATTATATTAATGAAATAACAATAGCAAAAGATAATAATAACAAAAATTCAATTGATCTTGATCCATTAAATTCAAGAATTCAACAAGATTTAATTAAATTAAGAAAATTAATTAAAGTAAAACAAGGAAGATTTATTGATAAGGGTTCTCTCAAAATGCGTACAACTAGTCGATCATTAAGAGAATCGGTGAGTTAAATAGATATGAATGATTTATTAGTAGTAAGACTTTTAAACAGTTGTAGAGTTTTTTTTTATTGAATAATTATTAATTTTATAACAAAACATAATTGATTCTATTGATAGAAAATTATGTATTGAGCATGTCCTATTTGATCGAAGTCCATTCCAATAAAGAAATACAATGAATTAAGAACCATCGAATTTTTGAAAGATTTTCAATACATAAATTCTGTCTGAAAGTTTAATTATATCAAAAAGAAATTTGTTTTTTTTTACTGATGATTTCTTCAAAGAAAATACTATTCTGCATAAAATAAAGTATTTGTAAAGCGGATAAAATCAATAATTAATAAGAAGAAGAAAAAAAATAATATTTAGATGTGTATCATACTGAAAAACATCTACACTGTGATTTTCAATGAAAAATTTACTTTTTGTAATAGTACTGATGGAACTTTTCTTTCTTCAACATCCAATATACATAATCATGATCAACTTGGCTAAACAAAATAAACATTATGTCTATTTTTAGATAGTTTTTTTTAGCTGTCGTAAGATCTCATCTTGCTTAGTCTGAAGCCCGCGAACTTATGAAAAACGACGTTTCTATATAAAAGAGATTTTATCTTCACTTTTTTTTTCTGCTGTCGTAAGCCGTAGAAAGAATCCAAATAGTAACTCGAATAAGGAAAATATTTTCCAACAAGGATATTGAGAAAGAAAAATGATTTGTCAGACTACAAAAGATAGGAACTTCAGAAAATCAAACTCTTAGTTTTCCAGCACCTAGAACGCGTAAATATGATATTGTTTAGACAACATAGAGCGATAGAGTAAATAATTGTCTACCAAATAAGACGTTTTTAAGTTCTCTATAGCGTATTTTTTTGACTGAGACTTTCCTATATAAAAGCTATTTTTTGTCCTTCGATCAAAATAATGTATTCCAGCTAGAAAACATTATCATTTTGTAGAGAATTATTTGTTCTATTATTTTATGTTGTCTAAACAAAATTATATTTGCACGGTTCAGGTGCTGAAAAATTAAGATTTTGGTTTTCTGAATTTTCTATTTTTGTAAATCTGATAATAATTTTTATTGATTTATATTTTTGTTGAAAATCTTTTTCCTTATTCAAATTAGCCTTTGGAGTCTTTTTAAGACTTACGACAGCGGAAAAAAGTGAAAAAAAAACCTTGTCGAATAATTTTTTTTCATCCACTGTACATACATAATATTTATGATTAGTACTATCTATTGCATCTAATGTATGTTCAATATTATTATGTTTTAATTTTTTTTTAATGGAATCCGACTCAATAAAATGTTTGCCCTTTTGATAATATTGTCTATACACCATGGATAGTTCTAAAATACATTTTCTTAATGTTGTGCGTTTCAATGAATTATTGAATCGTGTTTTGTTTGAAGTTTAATACACAAATAGAAAATCTTACAGAAAAGTCTTATCTTTCAGTTTTGGTCGAATCAACAGACTTTACTATCAAATTTTTGGCTTCGTCTTGATTCACATATTTGAATTTCTATTATTAACAAATATCTTATTCATATTTACCTTCATAATTTATATTCATATTTTAAGTGAATGAAATGAATAAGAAGAAAAAAAATCTAACTGCTTTTTAAATAATAATAATCTCATAAAAAAAGGCGTCAACCACACTTTAATTTATTCATTTTTTTTCCTTTCAATGATAGGTATTAATACGTACGGCATTTGAAGATCAAGAAAATACCAACATAACGAACATAAGAAGACCATTTTCATTAAATAAACTTAAGCCACTTGATCACGTGAAAATCTTTGGTTCTCAACTGCAACATTCAACACTTCCAAAAGGTGATTCAACTGATAGTGGAATTGGTAGTACAAGTAATTCATCCAGTACCTGTTCACAATATTCGAAACAACAACAGCAACAAAAAAAATTTAAGCCAAAAAATAATGATAAAATATTTAATATTCATCGTAGTCGATTAAATCCTCCACCTCTTCCTCTTCTTCCTTCGAATTCGCTTACTTATCGTGCATCGCAGTTATCAATGAAAACATCAAGAACAACATTTAAAACAACATCAAATATGCTCTCAAAACAATCTTTATCTTCTCATCTACAGATACCCATAACAGAAGTATCAACTGTAGTTACAAAAAGCCAATCTGATTCTATTGAAGAAGAATGTCCTTCACCAGTTAATCAGCATTTATCTGATAGTGAAGAAATAGCAGCACGTTCTTATACGTATGCAGCACCAACTTCATCAATAACTCCACATTCAACAATGCTTAAACGAAAGGCATCACTTTTACCAATTCTTTTACAATCAAGTTCTTGTATAGGAATGCAAACACGACAAGTTCGACCAAAAAAAAATGAATATGATTTAGAAGAAGAGCCAGAGGAGAATGATGAAGAGGAGGAGGAGGAGGAGGAAGAAGACGATAGTTATTATTATTTACTTGATTACAAACATTTATTGAATTGTTTACCAAAACCAGTTGTATCCATTCGATCACATCATGGACAAGATGATTATAGAATTTTATTTGAACAATTAGAACATATTCGAGAGACAATGCCCGATTCAAATATTTATAATGAATATACAAGAATTACTTAATTTTTCTTTTGCTTTCAATCAGTTCTGACACATATGAGAAAAGACATTGTGTTTTGTTTTTTATTTTTGATTAACAATAATGAAATGAACTAATATTTTGTATTTTAATTGTTTTACTGAAAACTATGTTAACTTTTCACATGAAACGTCAATAATTTATTGATATTATTTATTCACCTTTTATCAATTTTTATAAAATTAAACAATTTTCTTGTGATGCATAATTAACGAAAGCTTTTGATTTAATACTAATGATGTATTAAATAAATGAGATTTTAATAATGATTTGATATCAACAAGAGAAAATATCAAATTGTTTTAAATGTAAATCCATTAGTCAGTTAGTTTTAGTATTCATACGATTATTTATTTAACAATAAAACGAACATTTGACAGGCAAGATTGACATGAATGTGATTGTACATATTTCACATGATGAAGATGTTAAATAATAAAGAATTACGTAGTACAATACAAATTTTTTTATGTATAAAAGAAATTCTTATCTTGTCTGTAAAAAGTGTTGATCATTTTTCTACAATTCTATTAGAGATTCATCCTTGGAACCGATTTCTTTTATATATTTATCTGCTAAAAGAAATAATACAATAATAGTTAATGATAGTTTCTTTATCTATATGCTAATTCTTTATTTAGATCAAACAGGTAAATTGAAAACTCAATACAAAAAAGAAATCGAATAATTAAGTCAAATTAGTAAGTTTATGCAAAAAAAAATCCAAAAAAACAGATGATTGGATTTAGTAATGATCGTAGATGTTATTTATTTGATTGCATAAGAAAATATCATGAAAATATTAGTTGATTGATATGCAAATATTGATTTATAATGTTCTTTTTACTAAAATAATGATTCCAATGCGACAAAATGAACAATACTAGAATTAAAAAATCATCTAACTCAGCATTCGTCAATATGCCATCGCAAAAAGGTTATTAAATTTTAAGATCACTTGAGATTACCTCTTCAATGGGTAAACACTTGTCTTTTTTCTGTTTTTCTGTCAATTTTACAAAAAAAAAGTCAAAAACATCAAAGTAATGGGTAAAAGAGAAATCATCCCCTTTTTTTTGTAATTATTATCGTAAATCCCATGTTTGTAATGTACGAATATGTTTTCTTTTCACAACAAGGAGACTTAAACTACGAGAAAATGCTTCAAATCAAGATTGATAATATTGAGCATCTTATTTTTCTGTCTGAGTGATTTTTTTCAATTTAAAATTGATAAAAGATGTTTAAAAAAATAGCTCTTTCCTCATTTATTATTCTATTCTAAGTCTTTAATTATCAAGGTTTAGTACGATAAGTTTCAACATCATGCTATATATTTTCGCTTGTCATTTTTTAATAAGATTAATTTATTTTCATAATATTTATTGGCTACTTAAAGTGATTATTGATTAAAAAATTGACTTGTTAAGTCAAGATTTTTAAATACAATTATGAGCATATCTTTTTCGAGTTTAATATCATAGATAATTGTTGACACTAAATGTAGGAAATTTAGAACACAAACATTACACATAACAGGTAGCTGATAATAAATGGCCGTATTTTATATTTCATAGTTTCATCTCTAAATATGTTTTATTGAAGAATAGAACGGAATGTACATCCCGTTACTATATGGAAAAGTGCTTCAATTTTAAAAATACAGCTTATTTGAATTGGGTACATTTTGTTTACAAAACAAGCAAAACTCTATGCGACCAATCTTCGATGCTAGAAATAGTGTCATTTATAGGTACATGATGAATTCCTTTTTTCTTATTTCATCAATTAATGAATCATAGTTTTTATTTTTATCCTATTACATATTATTACGAATAGCGTCTCATATGTAATTTCTGATGTGTATATGATGTAGTGTTGTCTCATTGACAGATGACATTATAGTCAGAGAACCGTTTTGCCTTTTGTTTTCACCAGATTAGAATATAAGTGAAGACGTAAGATCATTTTTGGACCTGCCTAACTATATTATAATTGTTTTTGGACACTTCCTCTTTTGCTTTATATCTCCTGTGCGTCTAATTCTTGTCAACATGTTTTAATGAGAAATATTTTTCGTCAATAAATAGAATTCTCTTCAATTGATGAGATAAAAAGTACAGAATCGTTTATCAAAAAATAATTATGTTTGCGAAGTCAAAAATTGATCGCATAGAAGTACTCAATTACAACAAGTTTCACTTTGTAGACTGGAACTTCTCACATTGTATCTTGTGATATATTTTGCTTGTTTAAGCAGAACGCATTTACACATTATTATTTTTCAAAAGCAAAGTACCGTCATTTATTATGGACCACCACCTACTATTGTCAAATAAAACAAATACATATAGAACGTTTCATAGAAAGTTTTCAATTGTCATCGAAAAAAATAAGGCGAAAAAGTCAAAGTGAACTTTATGAATGATACTATATTGATGTATATAGAGTAAATTTTCAAAACTATTCAGTTTTGAAAATCCTCAAATTTGCTTCCCATAAGTAAAACGCATTATTGCAACTCTTTGAGCAATTAATTGCTGGCAAAAACTAGTATGTCATGTTTGCAAATTTGCTCTATACGCATCAATATAGTATCATTCATAAAGATCATATCGACTTCTTTTTGTGATTCTTTTAGATGACAAGTGAAACTAATCTATCAAACACGCTACGACATGTATTTTTCTTATTTAATAATAGATGAAACTGCTTCCATGATGTCAACAATAACACTTGATAGTAGTATTTATTTATCTTATCGGTATGCAAAAAAAGAAAAACTTTGAATAAAATTTAACACAAACCACAAAACCGACACGAAGATATTTCAGTTTTTTTTATCGGAGTGCTATTTATGGCCAATTCTGTATATTCAAAAAAAAAATAAATAAATATTGAATGTCTCTAATGTTTTCGAACAAAATTCACTAAAGAAGTAGAAAATATATTTTCATATGAAAATTGTTGTTGTCGAATTAATCGTGCACAACAACATTTCAAACGAATAACATCCATTTTTTTCTTCAATCGTTCAATGATTTTGATACGACTTGACGAGACTAATTGAAGTGGAGTTTGTCCTTGTTTATTAACATAATCTAAATGAGCTCCAGCATTACATAAAAGATCGATTATTTGTAAAACATTTGATGATGAAATACTTTGAACAAGTTCATGTAATGGAGTATTTTCATTGAAATTTAAAGCATTTACATCAGCACTACAATCAATAAGTAGACGAGCCGTCATCCAACATGGATAGCTAGAAAAGAAAGTTTTTGTTGTTGTTAAGTTTTTACTTTAGAAAATTTCTAAGTGATTCTCACTCAATAGAAAATGGGGTACTCTCTGTTGAAGAACTTGTACATAAATGAAGAAGTGTTGAACCAGTTTCTATTGTTTTATATTGATGTCGAATAATAGATCCAACAGATTTGTATAACTCTCGATAATAATCAATAGATAACGCATTTTTTTCATCTGAATGTTCACTATGAATTATTTGAGCCACAATTGTAATTAAATGAAGTAAAATAGTTAAGTTAGTATCATAAATTTCTCTATAATGATCTGATATAAGTATATAATTCATTATTTTAAACATTTGAAGTAAATCTTCAATAGGTATATTAATATGATCATTGAATTTCATTTGTGCAAACAAAGCAATAAAATGATTTAAATGATCAGTATGAATCATCATATTATATTTTTGTTTTAGATCAATTTCATAAAACCACCAACGAAAACAATCATGATATTGACCATTATGAGCTAAATTAACTCCATAGTGATAAAGAACATCATGATAATCACTTTGATCATTACCAAGAAGACGTTGATGTACAAGTATTGCTTCAATACGCAAAGCATCTTTTATATGAGAAGAAATCAATTTATTAAATTCTTCTAAAGTTTTACATTCACGACGACAATGTAATATTTCTAAAGGTTCTGTATTTATTTGTTTGAATAAATTTTTAACTAATCGTAATTCAAATGCTTCAGTTAAATATTGAATAGTTTTAGTTAGATTTTCAATACGTGATATACATCCCGAAAAACTTGTTGCAAGTAATTCTTTTGCTTCAATCCATTCAATATCTGTACAATAATCTTTAAAAGCATCAACTAAACTAGTTTCACCAAAAAGAGCAGCTCGCATAAGTGGAGTAACTTTTCTTTTATCATCACGAATATTAATTGCACCATGTTCAAGTAAATATTTTGTGATTTCAAATGATCCAGATCTAACAGCATAATAAAGAGCTGTTTGACCATTTTCATCTCGTTCATTTATATTACATTTGAGTTCATTCACTAAATAATTAACTATTGATAAATATCGACGACCTGCACTAAGCATAAGATTAGTATAATTGCCTTTTTTTGATTGATAAGGATTAGCACCATGTTCAATTAAATATTTAAGCATTTCAAAATTATTATGATAACATGCAGCACGAAGTGTTGTACTATGTGTTTTTATTAAATGATTAATATTAGCATGACCATGTTCAATTAATAATTTAACAATATCAAAATGATTGACTGCAGCAGCTGTCCATAGAGCTGTTACATCTTCAGCTAAATCTAAACGATTATCTATTGAATTAAGAGTAATTGTACCTAATGCTTCAATATTAGGCTTGAAACGAGTAAGTAACATATGTACAATATGTTCATGTTTATAAAAACATGCTGCTAATAATGGTGTCCATTGTGATTTACCATATTTGTAGAGTTTATTGATACATTTTGGATTTTGATTCAAATAGACTTGAAGTGAAATCATATGACCATGACGTACAGCATTATGAACTAATTCTTCATCATTGATAGCTGATGTTTGAAATGACATATTATGTGCAAATAAAAATCTATGCAAAAAAAAGATATGTTGTTTTTTCCAAGTAAGAAACCTTACTCAGTTTCACGACTACACAATGACATGTGAGTCACGACGTATCTGAAGAAACAAGATTCAAACCATGTTTTGTCGCATACATACGATATGAAGACAGAACAAAGCACGTGTTACGTACTCTTTTCTTTGTTGATGTTTATCGAAAATAATGCTTACCAAGAAAACGAAAAAAAAAATTAAAAAAAAACTATATGTAGTTGTGTGATAGATAACGCATTAGTTTCAGAAAACAAAAAAACACTATTCAAAATACTGATCAAAGTACAATAGTCAAGCAAAAATATTAGACATGATTAAATATTATTTGCCTTCTCAAAATTGATGTTACCTTTCTGTGAAAACTTTTTATTAGCAAAATGAATTTAAATCTTTATCACAAAACCCAGTGCTTAATTTTTTTTTAAATCTATGACTTAATTCTTTTCAATTTTTCGATAAACTGGATCATCGTATGCAATGTTTTGACTAACAGAACTATCAAAATATTGACACTCTAAATCATGTCGACTAAGGTTACTAAATAGGTGCGCTTTGAAATTAAGGTCATATATATATACGAAAAGATTATTTTATCTTATTTCTTGTCCTAATCAGACAGTCAACGTTTTCGTTAAAATTTTAAAATCAAATTTGTCATACGGTGTTTTCACGAAAAAAAAGTCCTACATTCGAACAAGTTCTTTTCTTCAACTGTCATGTTTTCGTTAGACTTTGAGATCTATATCTATCAGACAAATATTTTTTGTAAATTTTTGAGTTTTTTTTTTTCCATTAATAATTTGACCTGTTTTCGTGTGAAACTTAACATCTTTACAAAAAAAAAACTGTCAATGTCAAAGATAAAATTAAATTCTAGGTAGAAGTAAACTTTAACAGATCTTCTTTATAACTAGACACAAGACTGCGAAATAAATTTCATTTATATAAAAATAAATCTTTATTATTATTTATACTAACAGTATATAATACATACTTGTTGTTTGTAGCTAGACACAGTATTACTTTGACTACTCATATTATAATGTATGCATGAATGACTTCGTTTGCGTCAGCAGCAGAAAATGATATTCAAAAGTATGTATATAAGCAATGAAATCGACATATTAATTTTTTTTTAGCATCAAATTCGAAGAGAAGACATTTATTATTTTAACACAAGGAATATGTAAGCTAAAAATTTCTTCATCGTTTTTGATTGAAATTCAATTCAATACAATTTACCAACATAATATATTCATACTTTATATATTAACAATGAGCCAGGTGAAAGTCGAAAACCAATAAATATTGATCGATAATACTACTTTCATATACATAAGGTTAAAGATTCTTTGTTTTTATTTCGATCAAAGTTTCCTACGACAAATTAGATTTCAATTGAGAACACTTCGGAACTCTACAACTTCCTATATGCAATTAGACTTCTATTTAAGATAAATATAACTTAATAAAAATATATAAGATCAAGCTTTTGTACTCGTTTTTTTTTGCTTTTGAATCTTTTCAAAACTCTTTTTAATTTTTCCTGTATTTCAACTTTGCTTAATACATATTGTTTTCATATTGTTTTCATAATGGAGTTTGGTGATTATGAGTGATTGATTAAACCTCAACTATGATTAATACAGTTATTTATTGTTGAATTAAGTATTTATTTTTCTCTCGGATTGAATAAAGTATTTTAGTCACCAAAGAACTGTTTATCGTTGATTGCTACGAACAGAAATTAAAAGTTTTTTTAATTGATCTTAACTGCTATTGATTGAATTATTTCAATAGGGTAATTATTTTTCATACACGTCCAAAAACATAAATAAATAATTCGTTGAACTTTAATTTGAAATTAGTAATATTTTGTCACTAATAAAAGCTTTAAAACTAACACTGTATATGCGCTTTTTTTTTGGCTTTGACCAAATTGGTGTTGTATATCGCTAACAATGTGTACCTTTACCAAAACAAAATTATTAACGTACTTCTATGTTCAAAAGTAGTAAATATTAAGAAAAATTATTATTCATATTGTTGGGATGGATCAACATAATTACTTCTATTGGTTTGTAAAGTGTTTAGTTTATTTTAATTACTAATTAATATTGAGCTTACACAAGATATATATCAGATATTAAGCCTCATTCCACAACAGAGTATCCGGTATCTTCCAGAAGGTTTTCTGTTATGTCTTACATATTTAGAGAAATTCGAGAACAATGTTCAGGGTTTTGAAAGTCTAGAATTAATATTGACTTCAGTCTTTCAATATTTTTTCAGCTTAAAATTTTAAAAACTAGTTATATTTCGATATAAATATACTGATTAAAGTTTCGATTTATTCAAGAATCAATTATCGAAGGAGACTCTACTATTATGAGGAATTACCTATTGTAGAAAGTGGCCTAGTGTGATTATTCACATTACTCAAACCTGTGGTATTATATTTCACTACAATAATACAGTTATTGGTGCTAGGCAATTTAAATAAAGATTTACTGTGTCTGACAGAATAATTGATAGAAATTTCGTTTTGTATAGTATTTACTCAATCCATTGAGCTTATGTGAACAAATCGAAATATTTATTACGCACAGCTTTGAAATTTTACTATGTAACTTTATTTTACAAGTCAAGAGCATTCACAATGATGATTCAAAATATCTGAATATATATTATTCGTATTTCTCTGTATTTTGTCTGTTCATATAAATAAAGTTTATTACGAAAAAAAAAAAGATTTTACTTAAACATTAAAAACAATACCCCCTCACTTTATAAAACAATCACAATAAAACGATTGAATGAACATAGCAAAAATTTGACATAATCGATATTTATCTATTATCAGTTTCATATCAACAAATCCTATTCAGTAAATGAATGGGATATAGCTTAAAAAAATTTCATAAATACTACTGTGTCGCATAGATATTATAATTAACCTGTATCAATAACCATACTGTTAGATAGTATTATTATAAATTTGCCAACTATCCTATGTTTCTATATGGTCATAATTTAGTTACATTAACAAATCAAATAAAAATTAATCAATAAATGCCTAATATAGTTCATATCATTCAGCCTTTTCAATATCAACTGAACTCTCATATCCATTGTGACATACAGAAATATCCCTTTGTCGTCTAGTAAAATTTCTTGGCATAATTTAAGGGTCAATTACAATATTTAAATTCTTACCTTTTTCCATAAAGTTAGCTATACTTAATTATTCCTTTTTTAAGGTATACAAGGATGTTGTCATGAATTTTGATAATACATAAGCAATCACTGAGAGATATCTGTAAACAAATATATTACTATATCTTTCACTTCAATTAAGTCTCGCTTTACAATCATATCAAATCGTTTATCTATCAATAGAAAACATTAATCATTCCTCTTTAACTATTTTATAAAAAAAACATCTTTAATTCCGTATTTCTTCAATTTGTAGTTAAGAACAAAACAAAAAAGAATAGAATGAACTATCGTTATGACACATATCGATCATTATTATCAATATAAGTTCTGATAGATTCTTATTGTATTTTCTTATTCATTCTATTATCGTTTTCAAATTTTAAAGACAATCATTTAATTCTTTCCCATGGATTCATATAAAACTTCTTGGCACCAGTGCGTCTTTGTTAGATTTATAATTATAAAATTATACTGTAACCCTTCAGGTACGTTTGGTTATGTCGATCATGTTCATTATTCAATTGAACATAGTTGTTAATTCGCTCGTAAAACAATAAAATACAATAAAAAAAAAAATCGTTACCAATGATGATATATCATCAACAACTATTCAAGAAATATTCATTCTTAAAATACTCGATCATCCAAATATTATCAATTAAATAAATAAATCAAAAACAATCAATTTCGTATCATTTAACAATATTCTTGAGACTCATTCATGTTGAATATAATTTGGATTAAAAAAATGATGTATGGATGCATACTTATGTATAGAACAATGATCTACTAAACTTTTATTAGTAAACAACAAATAAAATATTATTGTAAACCTATATAATTTTTATTTTTAACAGTTATATACATATTCTAATTATTCGTTATTGTTTTTGTTATGTATTCAAGATTCATTGAGATATAATATCATCGAATATTGGCATTGATTATGATGATAAATTCTTGAGTTTACCTATTAGAAATATTTATATAAGATTTAAGGTCATTTAAAATTAACTAATTATGGTCTTGGTCGTCATTGTCGTTTACCTGAACAAACATTAACACATGAAGTTGTAACACTTTGGTATCGCCCATCTGAAATATTACTTAATGAACCAACTTATGGTATGTATTTGAATATATGGAGTGTAAGTTGTATATTTGCAGAAATGTATCTTCATCGACTATTATTTCGTGGTGAATGTGAAATAGATCAATGATTACTTATTTTTCGATAAGTTAATCTATGTTGATTTTCACTCTGCATTAATAGATTGCTTGGTACCCTATCAGTAGTTGAATGGTCTGATCTTGTCGATTGTCTTTATTATCAAACAAATTTTCCATTCAATCATATTGAATTGTCTCAATGCTTAGGTCAAGTACTTGTCGATGATTCCTGGCAGTAAGAATTTATTGTTGGATATAGATTTGTTTTTTTTCCGTAACGTAAATATAAAATGTTTTTTTTACAATATTCTTGTCTACAATACACAAACTTGAACATCATCGATATTTTACTTGTTAACATATCAGCAACTTAGAAAAACCTATTAAAACTAGTATAGATCGAGCAATTCAATTACAATCTGAAAATATAAAACATTATTATTACTTAAACCATTGAAAATAAAAAATGGATTTTGTATTTCTATTATTTTTCCTCTCAGGTTCTTTTGTCTCATATTGTCTGTTATTAATTTTTTTTCTTTTTTTGTTTGAATAAAAAACAAAAGAATCAGACAGAATGAAGATTGATTAAAAAGAAACAAATGATGAATAATAGTTGGGAGTGTCCAATAAAACAAAGATCATTAGTATCCTCCCTGTCTCCGATAAACATATAGTGTCTATTGATTGAATGCGTGATGACACATTTCCTACATGTACTCATATATATGTTTACAATCGGCTCACCTGCATACCTATCTATCTTATACAAACATATATATGTTCATTCAATCAATTCCTTTTTTCTATTCTATATATCACTACAAGGTGAATTGTCACATATAGAATGATGCAATGTTCGTTATAGTAACGATATTTTCATTGATTATTTTCCATTTTATTCATGTAACATCATTATTATCAGAATGTGCATCGACTACAACTATTTGGACATATTATCCTTGTTCATTTATTATTTCATCATCATCATTCTATTGTCAACAAGCATCAATTAGTTCATCAATTGATCAATGTATAGACAAAGAAATAACATTTTTCTGGCATTTTCCATCTGGTAATATGACAATAACATTGAAATCCGATAGAAATCAACCATTTCTATTACATTTATTTAAAATGTCATCATTAAAAAAAAAATTAATTAAAAATATTTATCATCTAGTAAATAATAAAACGATGGAAGAACAAAAACTTAATATTGATGATAATGAAGTAATTATAATTCATTCAAATGAATATAATCAATGTTCAATTAAATTTGAAACATCAAATCGAATTATTTTTGATTATGGAGCATTAATACGAATGACGATTTGGACTTATGACAATAATATTAATTAGAATTTTATAAAAGAAAAAAAAAAATTGTTTTTTCTTCTTGTTATTAAGAACAGTATGAAAATAAATTCTTCCATTTGAAACTTTTTTCTTTAACATTCAAAAATTTATAAAAAAAAAAAAACTACGTGAATTTAATATATAAGTTCATGGTGTAATAGGATTAAACAATGAAATTGCTTTGATAGTTAGAAAAAATTTTGAAAAAATTTCAAATTTGACCTCCAGACATATTGTTAATCTTAGTCTAATCTTTTAATTCATGGTTACTGATTGACAATATTCTTCACTAGAGTATCATATAAGTGAAACGACAAAAAAATAAACTAATCTTAAGAATACAAATATCAATGAGTTAGGCTGTTGTTTTTTCTTTTTTCTACGAAATATTTTATTCTTTTTAGTAATTCAGCAAAATGTATTTAATAATAGATGAATTAAAAAAATTGACGATCTCGATCGATATTTTTCATGAAATAATAATATTTGACAAGTATATCGTGTGTAACTCTAACTTTCGTTTGAAAAAATTAAAAAAGATATTGCACTCGGTTATTCATCCATATTGTTATACGTTCTTCAAAGAACGCATTTAGCAAATGAAAATGAATTCCATCACTAGATGCACAGGAGACATCTGCTCTAATCGAGCAAAATTGAAATTTCATATTTGTTTTTATTGCATAATACTTAGCGCTGAATATAATATCAAAACAAAACCTACTGATTTCGAAAAGACTATATCAATAAAATCTAAACAAGGCCTTCAATTTTTTAATATCAGAACGCAATATTTTAATAGAATTAAACTAGCAAAAGACGCAATTGAAATTGTCACCATTACTATCTCACATTACATCGAATAAAAGATAGTTTGTATTAATTTATTCATTATTTGTTACAATATAACGAATGTTGGTTTTTCAAAATATAAAAACAAACTTAAAATTTATTATCCACGAAAACGCTCTATAACCAACATTCAGAGTGCACTGAAATCAAAGAATAACATGTAATAGTTATAAGTAACAATAGAATGAAATATCAAATAATTATATCAGAATGATAGGTACTATATAAGTACAAATGATTATTGATATTTGTCGAAAATATTTTTGATGACACTTTTAATAATCACTAATGAAAGAAAAACGACGAAGTGAAAAGAAAACAAAAATTGTTCAAAGATTGACCTTTATGAATAAGCTGAACCAGCATCTGCACTTCATCTATTTAATCTTTATCAGTTAATTTATACCAAATCCTATTATAATAATTTATTATTATCAGATATTTCAGTTACATCAGAAACTTTGATTCAAGATCAGCGAACATAAATTATGCATTGTCTTAATTCTGATTTATTGAAAGAGATCAAAAAACGTAAATTCATTATTTTGTTTTCTATTTCACATATTGTCTTTCTTATGTAGATATTCAATTGAACCATCGTATGAAGAAAAAGAAGAGAAAGCAGCTGTAACAACCAAATCAAATGTCCTCATTATTATGGCAATTATGAATCATGCAGTAAAATATTATCGTGATAAGATCTGTCCAGAATCTAATACATTCCCATAGTACTTTGAAAATTTTCTTCGTTTTAACAACTCTTTTCAAGATGGTATGGTTGATAAAGTTCGATGCTTGACGATGGATGATACACATCCTACCAATTATTCAAACTCATCTCATGATTTTTCTTATCTCAAAGAGTTGATTCTATATAAGCTTCTACCACAACAAGAAAAGCAACATTCATCGTCATTGATTATATTTCCTCTTCTTGTTTTTCTCAATTTGGATCTAGTACATGTTGATTATGTTGAACAATTTCTCATCGATAAGAACACTCATTTATTTGGTTTATTAGATTTCTGCATCAAATATGAATCACTTGCTATGGCAACAAAGAATTTGTCAATGATACAACAAGTCTTATTTGTGCTAAATTAAAAAGACTTCATATAGATAAGCTGTTTGTTCGATCAAAATATTTTCATCAGTATTTTCCTTTATTAGGCCTTGTCTACACTAGAAAATTTAATGCTAAATTAAGAAACGTGGTCGGTCGAAAAGTTAATTCAGATTTAGTGCACTTTTCAGAGACAAATTAAATTTAATGCACCAATCAAGAAAAAACTTGATTTGCTAATTAAAATGATGAACGTGCCTCGATAGAGTCGCATTATATCATCCATAAATAAATATATTCGACATGACGAACTATAGAATATAAGTGAACAGGAACTGAGACATAAGAATAAGTAATACTACAATGATTGACAAATCTGTAGCTGAAAGAAGTCAGCCAGTACAGAGATGTCCATCGCGGCTGGAAATTTGCCGCTGCCGCACCGCGATGAGTTTAGAAACTTCAGATCTTACCGCTGCCGCGACGATAAAAAAAGAAAACTTGCCGCTGCCGCGCCGTGCCGCGATGCTACAGGAACAAAATCTACCGCTTCCGCGCCGCTACCGCGACGTTACTACGTCGAATATCAGTCTGTGACGAAATGGATAAGAATCATGAGTTTGTTAGAGCTTCAATTGAAGAACAAACAATATAGCGAATGACCGAGAACACCTGAACACTTGAAATATTAAATTAAATAACGGGTGATGCAAAAGTTCTGAATTAATTTTCTTGTCAGTATAGCGTGGCAACGAATCGTTATAGAGACTTGATCTTTTTCTCGTTGGAAAGAGCTAAGTGTCTAATACAAAATTGTGTAAAAATATTTGATTCACAATGTTTACCAAAAACTAAAAAGCCTTAAGAACACGTTGGACTGGAAAAGTGCCTTTCAACTTCTGGAATTCAAAAGAAGAAATTCCATCTGCAAAGAAAGTTGATCTTTTTTCCGGCTTTTATCGAGTTTTATAGCGCTACGATCAGGCATTGTAAACGCGGAAAAATAAGATTTTCAAGTGACCGATTGAGTTCGAATTCAACATTTTTCTAATATCTTTTGTTAGTATAAATGTTTCACAGCTAATAAATGACTTCGAAAAATAAGATTTCTTCCAACATCAAAGTTAGCAGAAACCGCCTATTTTATATACAATTAAAGCTTATTGAGTCTTCTATTAAAGTACATTATATAAAACAGAATTCAGCTTTTCTGTTAGATATCGTGTGAAAACTTTAATTAGATGTTCTAGACGAAAAATCAACTTTTTAATGAAACTGTTTCCTTTGAAACCTGTAGTTTTGTAACTCGAATGTTTTTGTATGATTAGAAAGCCCACGTTGCATTGGTCAGACTCACATATACCGTACTTCCAAACATCGAAAGCCGAGTGCAAAACAAATTAAACAAATGCATTTCTCATCTCTAATTTTGAGTTAAATTGAAACGCACTTTTTCGATACAAATCATTCTCAAGGCTTTTTTGTTTCTAGTAAACATTTTGAATGAAATATTCTTCCATATTTTTGTAGTAGACAACTTGCTCTTTCTAACAAGAAAAAGATTAAGTCTCTATGAAGATTCTTTGCCATACTATACTGAAAAGAAAATTAATGCAAAAATTTTGCACCAAGTCTTAGAAATTACTATATGGATCATATAGAATACTCTTATTTCGTCTGAATAAGTGATATTTTAGCCTGGTAAAAGCGAAAGATTATGGGAACTTTGAGAAAGCAACTGACCCTACGGAAGCATAATTTGATATACGCATCAAGTACTTGAGAATCTTGGGCAAGAAACTTAGGCGCTATAGATAAATCTTGAGATCTATTCAGCTGGAGCAGATGAAGAAAAGTTCGCCTGTTGTGACTATATAGTAGTAAGGGAGTGAAACGATATAGATTACAATATTTGAAATGAAATATCGGAATGTATCAATTTTATGTGCATTCTAAGTAAATTTTTTGTATGTGTTTGAAAACGAGGTTTATAGTTTTGTAAAAGAAGAATCTTGATAAGTACCAATCGAAACTTTAATTTTAACTGTTCTCTATCGATTTCTGTTGTTAATGAAGATATATCGATAATAACTTTATCATTCGTTGATGGTGGTGAAAGATCAACACTAGTCATTCAAGGTAATTTAATACACATGTAATATTATACTAAAGCAAAGACAAAAACCAAATTCATTATATCCAGAAAATAAATCAAATTCTTGGTCACGAAAAATTAATTTGTAAATAGAATAAGATGGTGCTTTGTTTTGTAGATTGTGCCAATCATAATAAGTTGACTTATGGAACAGAAAAACAATTCACTCTTCTTCACTTTACTAAAATGACTGTAATATAGTTACTATGTCTATTCTGTTTGTATTTGCTTTCATTCGATACATCGTTAATCTGTGCTATCAATACTTATTCATGTCTCTATCGGTTATTTTACAATAAAAAAAAATGTCACGAAATGTGTTGAAATTTAAGGATCGAATAGAAAATTGGGTTGGATTTTCCTTTGCACGAGAATTAGAAATAGCTCATTTCCTTTTTTCGAGATATATCTGACATTTAAAACCGTTTACACCTAATAATGCTTCGAACATTTTCGTGTGTATAGTCTCTTGTGTATATAAATTATAAATGGGGCAGAATATGAATTCTTGACAATCTAGTAACATGCTCCTACATAATGTTATCATATAATTACATGATGCTAACCTTTATATTTCTATTAGACGATTAAAGTGTAATGAAAACATACTGGTTGAGAAAAAAATCGGTTTACTTTGAATCATAGTAAAATAATCTACTCAAGTATTAGATTTTCTTGGAAAAAATGGAAATTTCAACCGCTGCCGCGACGCATCGCGACGGTAAAAAAGAAAACTTGCCGCTGCCGCGCCGCGACGATAAAGGAAGAAAACTTGCCGCTGCCGCACCGCTACCGCCATGGCGAAAGCGGCGCGGCAGCGGTAGCACCACCATGGACATCTCTGAGTCAGTAATTATCTAACATAGACAGAAGCGACATGTTGCTCTGTAAACCCGTGCTAAAATTATGCACTTCGATTACATCATAGTGGCTATTTCTCAATTATGATTGATGCATGAAATTCGTCAGTGTAGACGCATGTATATTTAATGCGAAATTAATACCGAATTATTTTTCTAGTGTAGACAAGGCCACAGATAGATAAGACGAGGAAATATGTATAACAAATGGATTCGTTTTTGTTAGCTTTTCGAAAATTTTTGTTTATTTCACAGTAACATATAAGCGAATTTTTTCTCGACTAAATATCTCACAATAGTTAAGATTTTTGAAAAGACTCAATGATATTTATAATAGTCCGCACTGCAGTTTTCATAGGGATCATAAAACAATACTAATGAGTTTTATAATCTGTTCAGAGAATTGACACATACCTTACTATTTTTATCTAATAAATTAATTAGTATGAGGTCGTTATGAAATTTGTTTATTCTGAAATATAATATTTAAAAAAATAATATCAGTTATTTTAAGAGACTTTGAATAACTACTCGCTGAGATCTTTTTCTACGCATGTAAATAGAAGAACAAAACGTAGGAGTTTATAGAAATTATCATAAAAAAGAAGCAAAAAACACGTCTACAAGATTTCTATAGAGGCGTTACAAAGATTAAAAACAATAATAATCGCTATTTTAGAGATGTAGACATGAGTTGTCTTATCATTTAACATATCGATTTTTAAAAACTTCTTGTCTTAACCGCAAGTTCTAACGAGAAAAGAAGCACTGCAAAAAAAGGACAACTAAAGAATGTCGATCTGTACTGCGTGAGTGAGGACAACGGCGTACTTTTATACTTAAAGTTATTTTGCGCTAATTTAAAGTACTTCGCGCAAATTAAAACTACTTCACAGGTACTTTGAACAACTTAAAGGTACTTCAAAAGTTCTCAATTTAACTACAAACACACGTCTTAGATATTAGGCTATAGGTCGTTTTGTTCGTGCTAAGTAATAAAATAAAATTAGAAACTCAATGCATAAAAGAGAAAAAACGATACAAATGATAGCATTACACTAGTATTTCAATGGATTATTTAAAAAAGTATAAAAACAAAAAAAAACAGAAGATCACGTGTTAATTGAAATGAATTTAAACAGGGAAAAGAAAAATGTTCACAAGCTACTTCTTTTCGTTGAATGCTGTTGTTGAGGGTGGGTGTTGTATGGAAAATTCGAATTAAAACCGCAAATTGGTCCAACCCGCTTGAGCTTTTAGAAACAGCCGGTGTTCAACATTTTTTGCCGGTTATCTTATCAAGTTTTGGGGTACTGAAGGTAATCTATATTTTCGTTATGTCTATATGAAAAAAGATTCCGCTGGGTTGTGAAAGTTTTGCCAACCGCTATCTCATGCAACCATGACAATATCCCAGTATTAAGAAATCTAAAAATATGACTTTGTAGCCAATTTTGTTTTCCTATCGGCAGTAGTAGACCTACAAGAATTCAGAAGCCTTTCAGTTGTGTTAAACAATGATTTCAAATGAGTAAGCATCAAATTTATCTATTCTTGTACAGAATTTATAGCTTTATTAAAAAAAATCAGCTAAAATAAAGAATATATGTTGTTCAATATCAGTTGTTTCGAGTTATTAGAGAGAAAGTGTTGAAAGAGCTCTTTCTTTGTTCTTAGTATAAGCGTGTATGGAACATGACAGACTAAAATAGAAGTTGTTACTATTAGAAACTCCAACAGTTATATGAGTTTCATGTTGTATGCTTTCGTGAAGCTGTACTAAAGAACTTTTCTCGAAAGAACTAAGAGACAAAATGACACACTTAAACGGACTGATTTTTTTTCAATCAAGTGAAAAATTTTAACTGATCGACCCGATCCGATGGAAAAAATTCGACCGGTTCCAGACTTAGTGAAGTGTGGGTGTTTGGTGAGGAGTAAATCATCCTTAGAGCCCTGTATAGGACTCCATAACCCAACTTCGATAGAGTCGAAGCCCGAGTTATTAAAAGAAAGTTTTTCCAAGTTAGACTGATCATGAGGATTTTTTTGGAGTCGACATCTGAATTATATCGGTAAAACAGTCAAGTAATGAACAAAATGCACTGCTTTATAGACTCATTAATTATTTCGGATAAAAAAAAACACCAGAAGGACATTCATATTGACAAGTAGCATATAAAGAAGTATATATGGTAGTCAAAAAAATTTTTGGAGTTTCTTAGAGTTAGAGTCAAACTTCGGAATTAAACAGTTTGCCTCTGCAAGAATCTAACTCTCATTCTCATACCCACAACCAAACATTAGTATCTCGACGTAATTCCAAGTAATTCGCTGTATCCGAAATCACTTCTGTATACTTTCTATTTCTGAATTTTCATTGTCATTGAAATATAAATATATATATAGATGTGTCTGTTTGATCTTCACCTAACTAATCATTGTTTGTTAAAGTATTAAATCAATGTTTTCTACAAAAATCAACATCTTTTTAACCGGTGCAACTGGTTACATTGGAGGAAGTATTTTAACTGCGCTTCTTCGACATCCAAATGCTTCGAACTTTAATATTACTGTTCTTATTCGTGGTGAAAATGAGAGAGTGAAGAAATTGTCCTCACTGAATGTTACACCTCTAATCGGTTCCAATGATTCATTCGAAATCATTGACAAAGCTGCAAGTGAATCCCATGTCGTCATTCATACTTCAAATTCATCTGATGATCTTCCATCAACTAAAGCTATTATTTCTGGTTTAAACAAACGAACCAAAGAAACAGGAAAACCAACAATTTATATTCATACAAGTGGTACAGGTGTTCTTAGCGAAGATGTTCGAGGTAAGCCAGGCTCAGACATAGTCTATTCTGATCTTAATCCTAATCAAATCAATGGTCTTCCTGATGAACAACTTTATCGTGATATTGACCTCTTCATTATTAACTCAGCAGATGCAAATCCTCTTTTAAAAACTGTTATTATTCTTCCACCTCTTGTTTATGGTATCGGCACAGGCCTATTCAATCGTACTTCTTTACAACTTCCAGTTCTCGTTCGAGCAGCTTTAAAACGACATAAAGCTGAAATGATTGGACCAGGTCAAGCAATATGGAATAGCGTTCATATTGCTGATTTATCTGATGCTTATATAATTATTTTTGATCAACTTCTTGCTGCATATGGTCCTGATGCCAAACCCGATATACAACCAAGTCCATATCTAACAACAGGACGAGAAGGTTATTATTTTGTTGAGAATGGAACTTATACTTGGCGACAACTCTCAGAAAAAATTGGTGAAGTTTTATACAAGAAAGGTATTGCTAAGTCACCTGATGTTACAAGTTTTCCAGATAATGAAGTAGAAAGTAGCCTTTGTGGCACTGTTAGTTGGTTTTTAATGGGTAGTCAAGCAAATTCAAAAGCTGAAAGAATTAGAAAATTGGGATGGAAACCATATCGACCAAGTCTTTTTGATAGTGTTGAAGAACAAGTTGATGTTTTAATCAATAATACCAAAGATTAAATTTATTTAAACATTATTTATTATGTTCGATTTATATAACACGTAATTTTATCAGTATTAGTTCATTTTGATTTTTTTTATTATTATTTCGTCATCTATAATCTTGATAAACATATAAAACTGAGATAAAAGGACAAAAAAAGCTGAATTTCAAAATTCTGAACTTAACTTCTTGAAGTTCATTCAGAAAACAACAAATTGTAACAACAAAGCTAACGAATTATTACTACACATTCTTGAAAATGCTAATTACTATGGATATTTGTTGCTTTTATTATGCATAGATATACAAATGAAAATAAATTACACAAAATAGAGAAGCAGTTGTCTTGAGATTTTAACCATTATGATTGAGTGCTACCAGTAATCAGTTTTTTACGTATTGAGACTTTACTTGAGCAAGAACAAGAAAATGTGATTATCGGATTATTTTGACGACAGAAAAAGAAAGAAATAACGAATAATCATCTATCAAATGGAGCGAGACCGAAGTAGCTGAGTGGCTTCATAGTCTACCACGTCTTCACAAAGTACTGTGTTCAAACCTTAATAGGCTAAATCGCTAACGATTGTTCGATAGCATCCTGGCTGCGTTGTAATAAATATTTACTCTTGTTGTTAGTATGTAGTTAGATAGTGTCATAGCTGTAGGAAAGATCTCGGGTTATTGAATCTACCACTAGGCAACATTTCATATCACAAGGTACACGAAAGACAGCAGTATTTTGCCTTTCTTCTAAATGGAACAATATACATACGTATTTAAATAGATTTAATGAGATATTAGAATATAACAATGAATGATAGCACAATTACGAGTCCACATAGAAACAACAGGAGAACAGAAAATTTCAACATAGAAAAAAGAAATAGCAATCAGGATAAATTATCAGAGTGAATTGTTATTATATGATGCAGTCAAATTGTTCAACGACTGTAATTGTCATGGGTTAGTCTAAAGCCTATGTATTCAGTAAGAATTTTGTTGGTACATTAATATTGTTTCCTAGCCATATAGACAGGAACCAATTGTCTAGCGAATATGTAAAATCTCTTCTTTGCGAGAGCCATCCAATGATTTCATTAGGGCTAAACGGTATATCAAATGCAAAGACGAATGTAACGCTTGATAAGTGTTTCAACCGTTGTAAAAGTATTTTTATATCATCTAGATCCATGTCATATATTTCGAGATGTTTTACATGACGAGGAATAAGAGAACAAATACTTTCAACTATTCCATTTAAATTACTACGATGCAATGAATTAGATAATGTAAGTGAACGAACATTATATGTTTGTTGCAGTAAGCAACCAATGCTATTTATTGTATTTGATATTGAACAGTGGTCAAAATCGACATATAATCCCAACGTAGTCAAATTTGTTAAGTCAATAAGAGTTGAAAGAAATTCTATTGAACCTTCAGGCCATTCTCTATTGATAGTAAGTGTTAAATCGGTGAGTTTGAGAAATAAATAATGACTTCGTAGTGTTATCTATGTTCAGAAAAAATATAATGATTTAGAGATATCAATTGTTTGAATAATTCATAATGAGAAACTTAGCAAGAAAATTTAAACAAAGAAATATTTAAGATTTTCTTTTTTTTTGATAACATACCTTTTGTGCTGTTATACTCGACATCAATAGTGTTAAATCTAAATGAAGTTCACGTACATTATTCATTATTAATGCGTCGTTATCGATAGTCGTGCAAGTAGTACATTCAATTTTGTCAAAGTTAGATTCATATGTAATACAAGAATCACATATTGGTACTGAATAGAGTCTAAACGTCGCTGTTTTAATGGTAAAATTACAAGATACAAACCAAGATTTATGTTTAAGCCAAAACATTGTTCGAAATGGATTAATCCATGATTCGATATCAATAGAATTATGATTGATATCAGTCTTGGTACGAAAAAAAAATTCAAATTTTTCCAATAAAGGTAGTTTTATTTGAATAAATTCTTCCCATCGTGAACCATCAAGTATACCATCAGATAAAGTAGCACTACCTGTCAATTGAAGATGAATAAGAGAAGGTGTCAGCGAAAGTATCAGTTCTAACTCATTCATTTGTAAACGGCTATTCTTGAATGTCAGAGAAGTTAAACAAATATTTGTCTGAATATCAGAAAACGATATCATAGTTGCATTAGTATCATTCATAATACAATTTCTTATTACTAATGTTCGTAGATGAGATAAATGACGAAGAATTTCACAAACTTGTTTGAATGTTATGTAATGACCAAGAGTCAGATATTGCAAAGTGCATTGTTTTGGCCATACTATATTATTTATTTCCTCACTCCACATACTTAAATCAAGTTTACGAAGATTACTCGTGATAATATTAGATAAGAGAGGAATCATTGATTTACCTTTTGATTTAAAGTTATTTTTTCGTATATTGATTGATAACTCACTTAAAGACTTTATGTTAATATGTTTCATGAGTAAATTTAATTCAAACTTTTCGATTTCAATTAAAGTTAATGTACGAAGATGAAGAAATTGATTAATATTGAAAAGAGATGTAAATAAACCAATTTGTCCTGGTGTCATATCATTATTGGAAAGAATAAGTGAAGTTATATTTTCTGGACGAATAATACGACAAATACGATGATATTCAATCTTTGAAATTGAACTTAAGTCAAGTTCACACTGATTGTAAGTATTCACAATTGTAAAAAATCGTTTACATACATTTCGAAATGAAAAAAATATTGTTTGTATATCAAGATTATCGAATAAATGATAAAAAAGTTCAATAGGTAAAGTATGAAGCGATGCAGCCTGCATTACTATATGTTTTATGTAAATGTAGTCTATGTATTACATCGAGCAGTAGTGTAATGATTCAACATTGCGAAATTAAAACAACATATGACCTTCTTTTGCGTATGAAACAGAATGATGAAATATCAGGAACGACAAAAAAACTAATGATGGCATATCATAAGTACTATGGACTCGTATTATTAAACTTTAACTTGGCATTTGTAGAAATTCACTATAAGAAAATATTAAGGATTTAAAAGACTGACAGAATGGATATATCATTATTATTTTTTTCTTAGTTGGATAAAACAATTTATAGATTGAAAAAACAAAACTTTACATTTAAAACACATGAAAAGCAGAAATATATTATAGATTTCAGATACTATCAATTCAGAATGCCGATTGAGAAGTTTTTTTTCTAAATTTGAACAGATTTGAAGAATTAATTGTTTTTTTGGGTATTGGTGAGCAAAACAAAGATTTTATAAGAGTAAGGAGTTACCTCCTGTGTCTCTTTCTCTCTGGCTCTGAAACTCCTGAAGATAATTTAGCCTTTTTCAGTAATATTCAAGAAACACTTTATAGAATGAACAAGAAATATTTCGATACGTGAATTGTATTAACCAATCATTTATTGTTCCGCGAAAACAGGAGAAAAGATCTATTGGCCTCCACATTCATATATCACAAAAATATTTTTTCCTGAAAAACAAAAGTAAAGTACAAATTCATTATATCAAATATACAAAAATGACAAATGTTCAACATCGCCGCTCTACAATAAATGATATTGATTTACAACAACAACAACATATCAATGATCCTCCACCAATTCCACTTATGTCAATTATTATTCCGCCAACTGAATATTCTTATACACAATCTACATCATATGAAACATCAATTGATGAACCAATACATTCATCTTTAATAACACCTATTACAATATCTGATGATAATATTTTATCAATATCACCTAATCAAATTGATATTTCAAAATTTCATTTTGCTCATGTAATTAAAGTTCCACATGGTACAAATCTTATTGCATCTAATAATCAATCAACAACAGTATGTATTAATTCAATTGGAAATATAATTCATCTTATTACACCTACGGGTTATTATATTCGATCATCAAGATGGCCCGAAACAGAAAATAAAATTATGGATTTACTTTGGTAATGAATAAATACTAAAGAATTTTTTTTTACTTTTTCATCTTTTTACTAATTATTTAATTAGGTGTGAAATATTACAAGTTTATCTTATTACAACATCAAAAAGTCTTTATACACTTAAATATGATTTAAATCAAACATTATTAATTGAAAAATTACTTAACTATCCTGATTATTATTTATCAAAAAAGATTTTCATTGCTTGTAATTCCTATCGTCTTTATATACATGATCAATCATCAAAATTCATCGATGTTTATACTCTTCAATTTATTCATTTACATACAAAACAATTACCTGATTGTATTATTAATAATCAAATCGAAGAATTTTCTTGTTCTAATTCATTTCTTATTTTATATTATAAATATATTTCTAATAAATTTATTATATTAGATCCAATAACAATGATAATTAAATATGAATTTGATTTATCATATAAAATAATATCATCTATACGATGTTTTGATAATGAAAATATATTAATATTTATTGGTATGAAACAAGATAAAGAAAATCGTTTAGTTTTTTTAAATCTTGAATATATGAATAAAGAAAATAAAATACAAGAAATAATTATTGAAAAAACTATTGAACATGATGAACAATTCATTTATCTATTACCAAACTGTCGAGATTTAATGATACTTAATATAATTGCTGCTCGTATACAATATTTGAAATATCGTTCTTAATTAGATAGTTTTTTGTTTGTTCTATATGTTTTTTTTTTGTTTGTTCTAGTTTGCATTTAATGTGTTATGATTGTTGAAAGATATTGTTTTGTTTTTTTGAAAGAAACTATATTAATCAAGAATATAAAGAATCTATTGAATGTTGTTTGTAATAAATTTTGAATATAGATTAACTTAGTAAAAAAACAAACATAGATGATGAAAATGTTTTTTTTTTCTTATTTTTAGATATCTATTAGTTAATCTTTATCAATTAATAATGGATAAACAGTGAGTATTTCTTGTACGATTTTGATTAGTATTTTATTTTTTATTATTTGAACTTGATAGAAGATCTGATATGATTAAATCATTATCACTTTCATCAAATGATTGTCGAATATATGCTAGAAAACAACTTGATTTATGGTTAGATTCATCATTAACATTACTTCGAAATACTTATAATGAAAAATTAAATGAAATTGATCAATTATTTATTACACTTAATGAAGATTTAGAAATGTATAAACAACGACAATTAATGACAATACAACGACAAAAAAATAATTTATTAAATGAAGAAATCGAACAATTACAAAAACAATTATCAACACTTATTCAAGTTTAAATTTTTTGTTTTTTTCTACGATAAAATACATTTTTTTTTGTTTATTTGATTTAGGTTAAAAATACTCCAGGTTCAATATATGATCTTGAAATATGTCGTTCAACAAATATAATTGATAGACCTACTGTTTGTTCTATACTTCGTCATTCATTATTACGAACAGAACCTGTACAATCATATCGTTTTTCATCAACATGTCGTGCTATGGCATGTAATTCGAAACGAGATGAAATTCTTTTATATGATAAAGATGAACTTATTTTATATAATGTTAATGGTACTTTAGTAAGTAAATTATTTTGCTTTTGTTCTTTCTTTTTTTTTTTTATATAATTGTATAAATTTAGGGTGGAAGTATTTCTTGGTCTTCTATAGAAGATGGTTTCGTATCAGATATTTCTTGGTGTTCAATACTTGATTGTTTTCTTGTTTTGGGTCGTATGGGTCTTTCATTATTTAATACACATTTATATAGATGTACTAATATTAATGAAGTTCGTGGTAGTCAATCACATTATCTTATTGCTTTAACTTATGTTGAACAAGATAAAACTGTTTTTATTTGTTCTCATGATCCAAAAGAAATTATTCGACAATATGATATATTACCTGAATGGAATTTAAAAAGAATTTGGTCAAAAGATAATTTAATTAATCAAGATGATGTTGGTAAGATATAATTAATCATATTTTTAATGTTTTTTTTTTGTATAATAGAATTGAGCGAGTCAGTCTGATTTGACTTGAAAAAAAAACACCTAGCTTTCTTATTCATCAGTATAGAGCTTCAATATTGAAAACAACTCTATACATGTAAAGTGTAATATTTATCTTTGATAGATAACTGAAACTTTTGTATCTATTTTAATAATCAAGTATTATTTTGTCAAGAGATATGAATTAGAAGGGCTTCGCTTAATTTGCCTAGTTGTAACATTATTATTTTTATTTCAGGTATTCGATGTATTCGTGTTAATCCATCTGGTACACAACTTGGTCTTGTTATTAAAAATAAAAAAGATCAATTTCGAATAGGTCTTTATTCAATGGATTTAACACATATATTTTCTACGATTCCAATTGTACCTTCATCATCATTATTAAAAGGATTTCGAAGTATTGATTTTATGCTTTATTTAACACCATTTATTGATGATCATTTATGGTTAGTTGTTTATGGTAATGGAATTCATGAACATTCTCTTTTACTTGTTAATGGTCAAACAGGAAAATCTGAAACAATTATTGATGATTCTATACTTAATGCTTGCATGTTAGATGAACAATATTTAATAGTTCGAATGAAACAATCAATATTGATTTATGATATTCAATAATCTAACATTATTGATTTGTTTTAGTAGTTTGTTTTCGCTTGGAAGAAAAGATGAAAAAAAAAGCATTTGAAAGAAAGGATAAATAAATAAATTAAAAAAAAAAATTTCGAATGATAATCAATAACTATAATACAAGATGAATAGACAAAAAAAAGTTTTAGATGATTGATTGAAAATGCTAAATTGAAAAATGAATTAGATTGTATTGAAGTTTTTCTGATAGCATTCTCGTCTATGAAATATTTATCTCATTAATTTTTCCTCAGCATTGCTGATAAAGGTAAATATTTGAGTATTCAATCAAGAAAATGATACGATCACATTCTTTTGTATTAGATAAAAAAGTACACACTATCAAAATCTCCAAATCAAATATTGATTATTTATTTTATTCGATTGAATTTAATACTCTATTTTTAAGACATATTATTCTTCGTTTCATAAAAATTCATTTTATTTTGATGATTTCAACTCATAAATTGTAAATTAAATTGTTTTGATGATGTTCGTGGTACTAATATTTTGTAGTTTGTTAAATATGTATGGACCAGATCCTATTTCATAGATGCACATTACTGGACAATGATCAGATACTGAATATCCTCCTGTACAAAGTAAATTTCTTAGTACATTTGCTAAAATTGGACGTGCATAATTATTTTGCATTATCCAATCTAATGCACAATCACTAAGATTATCTTCATGAGATATACTAGGACGTTGTGGATGAGTAGGAAGACAAGGTAATCTTAATGTACTAAAACAATCAATAAAACCAGCTTCACGTAAAATACGTCGTGGATGAAAATTTTCATTTAAATCTCCCATAAATAATACAGCTAAATGAGGGTCATTAAATTTTGACTGTAAATCATTTAAAATTGTTATAGCACATTGTGCTTGTTGTTTGCGTAGATTAATATTAGTTGTAAGTTCTTGTGTATGACCTTCCCATGTAAAATGTGCAGTTGCAACAAGTATCTGTTGAGTATTGATACTAGTCGATTGATTTTTTCCTTCGATTGTTTGTTCAGGTATTTTAATTTTTAATAGTACCCAAAAAAGACGTCTTAAGGGTTCCATCATACCAATATCATGGTAACCATATTCCATCATATTGAATAGATTTGAATTCCAATAGATATTACTTTCATTTTGCCAACCAGCAAAATTATCTTTAACATATGAATGAGATGGCAAACTTTCGATAATAACATCATGAAATAATGGATGTAATTCTTGCACACAAAGTATGTCAGGTGTAAACGTAGTTAAACATTCAAGCATGGCTGGACGACGATGTGGCCAATTGGCAGGATAATTATTAATTTTCCACATATTAAAGGTCATAACCGATATACGATTGGTATTCATAGCCATATCTTCAATGGAGAAGCCAAGAAAAATAAAATAAAGATGTTCAAATTAAAATATTGACGAAGTTTTTTATAGTTACACAGAAAAGTGATCAATAGAGACTCGATATTTTACTGATATAATACAAACTAGTTATCTAGTATATAACTGTGTGTCCATGGGAAGCGAACTTGTGGGAATATAGATATGATCACAGAGTAAAATAAGAGAGAAAAAGAAAAAAAATGTAGGTCGATAGATATTAACGAGGCTTTCTTTCTTCTCAGGATGTTAATGTGGTAAGAAGAGCAAAAAAAATACTACAGCTGTTTTTCGTTTTTAATGTATTTTCAAAGTACAAATGAATTTTTTTCCATCTGTTTAATGATAAGATATTCAACATGATAAAACTAAATCTATTACATATTCAACTTTCAATGAAGTCAAACATGTAAAGTGAAAAAAATAAAGTTATTTTAAACGAAACGTGTATGAGAAAGAAAGTTTTACACATGCTTTAGAAATTATTGTCAATGATCCTTATTTGTTGAAAATTGACTTAAAATAAAAAATGTAGATTAATTTTTATTTTCAACGACACACAAGCGTACAGAGAAAGTTTACCTTAGTTATCATACAAGTGAACGAATTCAATCAGAAAGTCAATATATATATAAATATTTGGTGATGTTAGAGATACTTAGTTGATCCTCTGAATTATTTTAATTACATAGAGTCCTATTATCTGAAACTCAATGAGTATGAATATGTTCTGTTCTAGACAAAGAATGTAGTAAAATCAATACTGGATGATAATTTATTATAAGAATAATGCACTCTATACAATTCTCCTTTTTATTGAAAGATAATAAAGTCAAACTCAAATAGTTTAGGATGTTTCCACCTACTCGAATGATTGAATTGTTTTAGAGAAATCACATTATTTAAAAAGTTTCAAAACATATGTGTTTGTAAAGATCAACTTTTTTTGAAACAATACCTATATATTAATATAGCTACGGCAGTTTATGTAATAAAGTCTCTGTTTAGAAGAACTTTTCTTCTTTGCATTTTATCGTCGTTGGCGCGCATTTTGATCTGACAAATTGACACAGTATGTACAAATTCACACTGGGACATTGTCTACTCTGATAAAGTAGGGCTCAATTACTGTGGGAATGTTTTCTGAGATAGAACATTCTCGTCTATCAACATCACCATTAGTAATAATTTAAAAGCATACAGCTCTATCCTTGTTTTTCGAAACGGCAATCATCATATGATGTAAAGTTCATTGGTTTATGCCATGTTCTCAAGTAGTTTAATTTTCGAAAAGAACAGATTTTAATATTTTCATTGTACTGTGAGAGAAAACAGAGCAGTAAAGAAAATAAATATTGAGAGAATTAAAATTGTTATGAGACATTTCTTAGTTTTTAATTTAAAATAAAAGAAAGTCAGACTGAGAATAATCTAATAGATAACAATAATTCTTTTACAGGAAAGAAATACAAAAGATCCTGAGCAAAAAAATTTTTTAAGAATGTTTTTCATTTTGAATTCAGAATTTTATTGAAACAAAATGAATGACAATTTTCAGTAAAATGATTTGATTCGATGTCCTTTATAACACTTCGTACAGGGCAACGTAAACATCATTATCAATCGCTTTTATTATCTAGTTTATATAGAATTTATTTTAACATGAACATAAAATCATAAAATGTTTCAATCGTAGTTATTTTTTTTTAGAAGTGCTTAGTTGTTGATGGACGTGAATTTTTGACAAAGTGATATCAATGCGAAACAGTTGATTGTTGGTTTCGTTTAGGTATTCCATTTCTTGAGTCATATGTTGAATGTAAGAGGGAACTTCGTCTAATGGTAAGTTATTCAATGGTATACCTTTGTTCCGTAATTGTTCTTTTTGTTGTGCGGCTATTTGGTCGATTTGAACAAACGCTTGGTCTCGTTGAGTCTCTGCTTGTTTTATAATTCTGGTATGTTCAGCATTAACACGTTCCTTAGCAGAAGCGGATAACCGATCAATTATATTCATTTTGTCATTTAGAACATGTTGAGCCATGTCTATTTGTTCAGTAACAAGAGCAACGTGTTTTTGAGCGCAATCAATACAAACATGCTTTGAACAATGAAGACATTGCATATGAGGTGGGTTTTTACAGTCTGCACATTTGCGAGTGGGTTTTTGAAAAGCAACAGACTCGTTTGTTGATATCGATTGCTCCTATGTAGCAAATAATTTATGACAAGATCACATAGAGGATTAAACTCGAGATAGTTTGGGTTTTCAATCTTCCTGAAAATGACTTACATTCTTTTGTTCAGTCTTGTAGGAGATTTTCTTAGAACTCTTTCCTTGTGAGTCCCAATGTTGCGGTGAATATTTGTGTGATACGTCTGAGCTACTTGATCCCGTCTCGTCCTCAGAATAATGAAGGTCAGATATATAAGATGCTGGTAATACAAGCGCAGGCTGTTGTGCGGAATTTTGGTCTAGAAAATAGTCTCAAAATAATCAGAGAAACGCATCAATGGCAAAATTATATAAAATTGATTTGAAACTATCGGGTCATAACTTTCCTACGTACAGATATAAAAAAGAAACCATCTAATCTTATGAAGTCAGGATACGTTATTTATATATGAATAAACTTCAAAGTTTTTCACCTTTTCCATGTACATAGTCAACAGATTCATATTTTGAGTTATACATCGTTTCGATAAGATTAGTATTGGTCACCAATTAAAATTGAACTTCAATAAGTTGTTCATTTTAAAACAGGACTGAGTAATATTCCAATAACTTTTGATCCAAAAAAAGGCAGAAATCTGTAATTATTATTGTTGAACAGATGCAATAAAAAGTGTGTCAAATCATAGAATGTCAATTTTTTTCTGAAATTTTTCCCATATTAAAGATTTCAACTTTACTTATCAGGTGCAAGCTTCACCAGAAAATAACCGAAACAGTGATTTTTTCCAAATTGTTACGAAAGTCTGCAAACGCAGTAACGTATTTACAAATCCAGATTAGCTATAGTGAAATATATGAGTTTATCTCATTTACCAGAATTCTAAATAATGCTTCTGGTAGACTTCTAAAAATACAAAAAATTCAATTTGCCTACCTTATACAACAGTTCATTTGGCAAATATTTCGCAGAAGACTCGGAGAGAAATTAGCGACAGAACCGAATTTATATGATTTGACATGCCACTTTATGTGAGCCTTTCAAGGGTTTGAACCGTGGGATTTATCTTGTTGCAATCAAAAATTTAAAAATAACAGCATTCATCCTTCTTTTATGTACACCTGAATAACCATGCGAATTTAGTTTTAAATTGGTACCTCAAAATTTAAACTAAGTTATCTTGACACAAAAAAAAAATACTTGAATCATGTGAAGCTTGCTCGAGATGAAATGATTTCATATTTAACTCGAGTTCTTTGTTTCATTTTTGAAGTGATAGCTTTTAGTCTAACTTGTTCATCTCATCAACGTATATTGAAATTTCTATACTATTCTATACACATAAGTCGTAAATAACATACTTGATATCCAAGCATCCATGATACGTTTCACTTGCAAAATGAATTTCAAAGACGAACGACAAGAACAGAGCAGTTACAGGCTACACTCAGACGGAAGAAAACAGTCAATGTGTCTTAACACATTCTCTTGCGCATTTGTGTCAATAAAAGCATCTTGCTAGCAAATGACCACCAAGGTAGCTTATAAATTCTTAAAAATGAGTAAGTAATTAAAGAGGTCGCATACGATCGCAAACAGTTTTTGACGTCTTCGATGTCAATCTCAATTTTCGCTCATGAACATTCAATTTTATTGAAATATTCTTTGTGGCAAGTATCAATACAAAACATAATAAACAAATGTAAATATTTTCGTGCAACATTTTAAATTGTATTTAGATTATTGTGAGAAACTTCTTTTCTTACACATAATTCTCATACAATAATATTTTCCTTGACATATTGACAAAATTTCTCTTTATATGTAGATTGATTATGGTTTGAACCGTATTAAACTAGGATTTGATCGTGGTAAAGTTTGTGCATCAGTTGTATCATCATATAAAGAATTAGATTATTGGTTGATCTTATATCAACAAGTTCAACTAATTCGTAGATAGTGAGGAAATGATGTATATCTACATCTATTAAAAAGGCGTTCCTGTCCTACTTTGGTTTTTCATTCGCTCATGAATATATTCATACTATTGTCTATGAGTATTATCGAACGCAAGAGGTATTTCAATAGGTTTTAATCGACTTCGAATAAGTAAATGCAAGAGAAATATCACTTTAGAAGAATATAGATTTATACCATCGAAACCATATTTATGGAAACATTTAATATGAAGTGTACATATTGTTCTAGCTGCTAACAAGACGTGTGAAACATATGGTCTGATAGACAGTTAGGAATAAAATTGATTTGAGAATTCGTCTTAACCAAAATCAAGCATCCTGTTCATAAGTGACAAAAGTTGTATAAGAGAGATGAATAAAACAAAATCATACACGTGAAAAAACCTCTACGGTAAATTATACTGTGATCATTTGATTTGACTGTAAAACCAGAACGATACTTATTAAGTAGTTATAAATTTAAAATGTCCTATATAAATAAAAATAAGCGCCCTCTAGTGAATACTGTTGTTGACTGGCTTCGAGTTTGTTCCTATGGTTTTGCTGACTATTCTAATAGTTATGTTTATGGAATTTTATCAATCAATTATTGAACAAATAAATTCTTCATAAAGGTACAATTGTACGTTTAGTTTCATTCACGTAGTAGTTCGAGCTATGATTTTCATCGAAATTTATGAAGATTATTTCTAGCATTAATTAATTTCTATGAAGTTTTCATTTATCAATAAAATTTATGTCTATTTTGCAAATACTCTTTTCACATTGGCTGCAATCTACTTTGTTTAATACATAATGACGACAAAAATTGTTCATATTTCAGAAAAATGATCCGTATTAAAAACAACGATGATCATCATACATCTATTTCAACATTTACTATTTTAACATATAATTGTCTTGCTTCGAATCTTGCTGAATCACAATATTTTCCAAAAACAAATCCTACACATCTCGATTTTTCTTATCGATTGAAATTATTTGAAAATGAATTGCAATCATTTAATGCCGATATTGTTTGTTTACAAGAAATTCATCAAGAAAATTTTCAACAATGGCTCAGTCCATTTCTTTTACAATTGGGATATGATGAAGGAACTTTTGCTAAACGTGGTGGTACCAAAGCTAAAGATGGTGTTGTAATATTTTTTAAACGAGACAAATTCAAATTGATAAATCAACACCGACTAGATTATTTTGATCGTGCACAAGATCAATTTCCAACAGAAACATCATTAGCTACATATAATGTTGCTCTCTTCTGTCTTCTTCAAATGCAAAATGTAAAGGTAAAACAAAATAATATTTGAAGAGTAACAATATTTTCTTTTTTTAAAATGATCAAATACTCATGTCGAATCTTAGTTTTATTATAATTTAGATGAAAACTTTTTTTAATTTCATAAACATGATTGTTTTTAGACAAATGTATCAAACAAAGAAGAACAACAAATTTGGATATGTAATACACATATAAATTGGAATCATACTTTACCTGCTACACAATTCTTTCAAATTCGTACTCTTTTTAATGAACTTACTCAACTACATAAAAACACTTGTGATCAATCGTTTGTGATTGTTGGTGATTTTAATAGTACACCTGATTCAGTTGTTCATGATTATATTAGAAATGGTTTTCTTACAGATACAGCTGATTATTATTCAAAAGTTTATGAAATTTTTTTGCCATTGTTTGATGGTGATTCAACTAAAACTAGGAAATATCTTACTGAACCTCATATGTATAAAAATACCATGGAGAGTGCTTATAACAAAAATACATTTTTAATACCGTTTACTACACGAATTGTTGATGATTTTTGTGGAACTATTGATTATATTTATTATCAACGTAATCGTATGCGTCCTTTACATTTATTAAATCCATTGCATAATGATGATGAACTAGTAATACATAATGATTTTACTTTACCAAATGAACAACATCCGAGTGATCATTTACCATTAATGGCCGAACTTGATTTACTTTCGAAATCATCTGAAAATGATGATTAAAATGAATAATAAAATAGAACAACTTATTTTGTCTGTAACTTGCTAAAAAGCCAATTCTTCTATAGATAAAATATATTTGCTAACCTTGTTCATTAAGAAAAAGTGTAAAGCCATCACATCATGCAATTTATATCTGTACATTCTTTTTTTAAACAAGCATAAGTTTGCGATAAAATCTTTGATTCGATATAATGAGAGAATTTCATTACAAATTCAAAAATATTCAACAAATCTATTCGTTATTTTTATTTTCTATTTTAATTATTTTTATACAAGTAAATAATATCGAAAACTATTTCTGATATCTTTTTGTTCAAAATACTCATCGTTCATAGTCAAAATAATTCAATTTTTTATTTTTATATTTTATAAACGTTTTTTTTTGTAACGATATTACCTAAAAAAAATTGTTGATTATATAGAAAGATTTTTCTAATGAAATGGATTGTAAAAAGAAAGTGTTTTGTTTAATAACAGTTGCAAGGTTTGCATTCTTCCTAGCAGTGAAGTTTAACTTTTCGAATCAGTTCAAACTTATTTTTTGTTTCATACTCAGAATTCTATTCATCAAATCACCTGTTATTCCCGACAATTATTATCTTGTGTTTCTTTATTTAAGAATGCTCAATGGTCTATTAATGCATTGCTTTTAAAACTATTGCGACTACAAAAATGAAAATATGGGCAGCAGAAAAAAAACGAGAAAGATCAAAAAGAAAGATTGACTAATACACTATATGCTATTTATCTTTAAAAAAAATAGGACGGAACAATAAAGAGACACGAACGAAATATAAAATAACAGTCATGCATAAATTTATGATATACACTAGCAAACCTTTAGAAATCACATCTGATATAAAGATATGTACAACCAAGTTTAACCCGAAAGCTTAAAATCCCCATGTATTTGCAGGAATCAAATATTTGCCATTGTTACACATACGTGCGAGGGCTCATTCTTAAAAGAGATACTTTTTAATATATAGCCTTCTCTTCTATTTTCTATCCGCCTATTTAATCTATTATTACAACTATTTAATTCTACAATAGCTATTTTAATTCTACTACAGCAATTTGATTATATTATAGCTATTTATTTCTACCACAACTATTTAATTCTGCTATAGCTATTTAATCTTACCATCCATCTTTCACCATACTCCATAGCAATTTAATTTTTCCATGACTATTTAAAGTTCTCCTACTGCAATTTAAATCTACTATAGCTATTTAATCTTAGAATCAATCCTTCACTATAGTCTGTAGCAATTTAATTTTACCATGACTATTTAAATTTTTCTTCAACTATTTAAAGTTCTCCTACTGCAATTTAAATCTACTATAGCTATTTAATCTTAGAATCAATCCTTCACCATAGTCTGTAGCAATTTAATTTTTCCAGGACTATTTAAATTCTTCTTCAACTATTTAAACTTCTCCTATTGCAAT